GGCCGTAGCCGGTGATGGATGACCGTTCAACCTCTGTTACCCATCTGTAAGTTAGCTAGAGACTAATCTTACCATCTGAGCCTAATGGTACATTAAGATTGTGTTTTAATGCTGCCTCTATTAGGAGATTCAATTACAGATAAATAGGAAATAGAATTATGTGATGTTGGCCTTCACTCAGACCTCTAAATTGTTTTGTGCTTAGTGTGACTAGTGATGCTTGTTAACATGAATGACTACACATAAAGGAAGCTTTAATTTAATGATGGAGATTTAACTTAAAGTTGAATTTAATATTTAATATTGAAAATATTTATTTCTAAATGAGTTTTTTGATGGGATTTGAGTTTTTCCTTTTGTGAAATTCAGAACTGAGACATTTCAAACACAACTGGTGTTTGAAATGTCTCAGTATTCAGTATCAGGGGGATACAGTCAGTTACAAATAAACATCCAAATCTAAAGTGGAATCAATCCTCAGTATGTCCAGGGAGCTGGTTAAAGATACATTAATATTTCACCATTTGGCAACATCATCTAAAAATGCAATCAAAAGAATGTTAAATCAGTTCCAACGTTAATTGGAAAAATTGTAATACTGTGTGTCATACTGAATATCTGTAGAACAAAAAAACAAATTGTTTTCCTCTCTTTGATAAAAAATATTCTGAGCACATCACATTGTATTCCATTTATGCTGCATCACAGGTTATATATACCTGATACCCAAAGTGCTGGCTTTGCCATGCGAAGGTGTGTGCTCTGACTCCCTCCCCAAAAATCAATGGCTTACTCAGTGATTGATGTTCTCAGTGTTAAGAGGAAAGAGTTGTCATATTTCATCAGGCTTCCTTCCCCACACGGCAAGAGGCTGTATTTGTTAGCTAATCCCTTTATGACGGCAGCGGCAGATTTTCTGACGGGCGCAAGAGAGGGGTTGGTGGGGGCTATCCCCTGAGAATAATTTAACTTCTAAAAAATATGTTTTGCTTTAATTAGCCCTCTCTAAACTGAGTAAAGACAGGAGCAGGAAGTGTAGAATAGACATGGAAATAAAATAGACTTACTTCCATAAGGAAGTGTTCCCTCAATCCCTCATGAGAAACACAAGAAATGTAATGAGCCAAATGAATAAATAAAGTCAGGACTTTTGTCTCCAGGCTTTGACAGACTGATTCTTAACAGCTCAGAGTGAGAGGAGAAGCTGTGATGAACACACACACCAATGCATGAAGCTCCATCGCTCGTTAACTCTGACCCAAATCACAAGACTGGAAGCTGTTAAAACACAGAGCAGATTGTGTGTGTGTCGGGGGGGGGGGATGTATGTGCGCTTGTGTATGTGCGCGTACGTGTGCGTTTGTGAGTGTGTGGGTGAGTGTGTGCGTGTGTGCGTGCCTTTGTGTGTGTGTGACCTACATACCACTGGTTTAGAAAAGCAGTCATACATCACATTAAATTGCTCTTCGTCGTCTAACTAATACATTGAAAATTACATTACAATAAGGGTCTTTGTGACGGGGAGGGAAATTGCCTTCCCTTATCTTCTCTGACACTCAGAGGGTTTTGTCAGAGAAGGACTTATATGTAAATTGGCCTCCCACTCGGATCAGGCGACGTGACATTATCTGCCGTGACATTATAAGCGCACTTGAATCATTCCCCTGGTGAAATGCTCGCAGGGCGACAGTGAAATGCTCGCAGGGCGACAGTGAAATGCTCGCAGGGCGACAGTGAAATGCTCGCAGGGCGACAGTGAAATGCTCGCAGGGCGACAGTGAAATGCTCGCAGGGCGACAGTGAAATGCTTGCAGGCAGGGCGACACACAGGGCCAGACATTTACGTACTCACGCAGAGAAACGGTAATGACTAGGCGGATTGCAATAACCTGTTGTTCTGGGAAATGTAATGTGATGTGTCTCTTGTGTTTGGGCTCATCTCTGAGTAGTAGCAGGGCTGAAGACTCACCTGTAGAGATGGAGGAGAGGAGCTAATCAAATCAAATCTTATTTGTCACTTGCTTCGTAAGCAACAGGTGTAGACTAACAGTGGAATGCTTACTTACGGGTCCTTTTCCAACAATGCAGGGTTAAACATATATAAAATAACTAAAACAAGAGATAGAAATAGTGACACGAGGAGTAAATACACACTGAATAACGAATAACAATAACGAGTAAAAAATAACATGGGTATTTACAGGAAGTACCAGTACCGAGTCGATGTGCAGGGGTACGAGGTAATTGAGGTAGCTATGTACTGTACATATAGGAAGGGGTAAATTGACTAGGCAACAGGATAGATAATAGACAGTAGCAGCAGCGTATGTGGTGAGTGTGAAAGTGTGTGTGTGTGTGTGTGTGTGTGTGTGTGTGTGTGAGTGCCGTTAGTATGCATGTGTGCGCATGTTATGTGTGTGTGTGTATGTGTATGTGTATGTGTATGTATGTGTGTGTTGGGGTGTCAGTGTAAGTCTGTGTGAGTGTGTGCATAGAGTTAGTGCAAAAAAGGAGCTATTGCTCTAGTCTGGATAGGAAGTTTATCTCTCTCTGTCTCTCTCTCTCTGTCTGTCTGTCTCGCTCTCTCTGTCTCTGTCTCTGTCTCTCTCTCTCTGTCTCAGTTTATCTCTCTCTGTTTCTCTCTCTGTCGCTCTCTCTCTCTGTCTCTCTTGGTTTATCTCTCTCTGTCTCTCTCTCTGTCTCTCTGTCTCTCTGTCTCTCTCTCTCTCTCTCTCTCTCTCTCTGTCTCTCTCAGTTTATCTCTGTCTCTCTCTCTCCCTGTCTCTCTCTGTCACTCTATCTATCTCTCTCTCTGTTTCTCTCAGGTTATCTCTTGCTGTCTCTCGCTCTGTCTCTCTCTCTGTCTCTCTCGGTTTGTCTCTCTCTGTCTCTCTCTCTCTGTCTCGCTCTCTCTGTCTCTCTCTCTGTCTCGCTCTCTCTGTCTCTCTCTCTGTCTCTCTTTCTCTCTATATCTCTATGACACACACACTCTCTTTTGCACACACCCACACATACAACAGTACAATGTCACACAATGTCACAGCACACACATGTGCACAATGCCATATGAGCAACTGAGCAGAGCTGCTCTTTTTGAGGACAGACACAGTGGAGTAGAGGTCTAGTCTTCCAACAATGAACCATCACCATGCCAACCACATTGCTGTTCTCTGTGCCAGCTTTTGCCTTGGCACTGCCCCTATGTTAGAAGTGGATCATTCAAGGGCATTAAGTGCGCTGGGGCTTCCAATTCAAACTGTTTGTGTATGTTTGTGTGAGTGTGTGTGTGTATGTGTTTGCGTGTGTTTTTGTGTTCCAATTCACGCTCCCAATGCCAAGATCCTCTCTCTCCACTGTTCTGCCCTAGAAATTAATCTGCTCTGTTTGCAGCTTCCTGTCCTTTCTTCTATAATAAAGAGCAAATTATAAAAAGCACGGACCAGTGGAGGCTGGTGGGAGGAGCTATTGGAAGACGGACTCATTGTAAAAGCTGGAATGGAATAAATGGACTAAAGAATAATACAGTACAACAACAACCCATGCGTTCCCTTTGGGAGGAAGTATTCACCAATCACTAGGTGGGAACTGCACTAAAGAGCAATAGAGGGACCATGTAATACTTTACCTCCTTTGAGGAACATTTAGCCACCATGTTAGAACTAGTCTAAAGAATGGAGTCAAACATGTGTTTTTCATATCTTTGATGTGTATGAAAAAAGTATGCACTCACTAACTGTAAGTCGCTCTGGATAAGAGCGTCTGCTAAATGACAAAAAAATGTAAAAAATGTTTTAAAAAATGATACCGTTCCATTGATTCCATTCCAGCCATTACAATGAGTCCGTTCTCCTATAGCTCCTCCCACCAGCCTCCACTGGCACTGACCATATATGGAGTGTATACGTTTGTAATACAGTATTGTTTGCTTTCAGCTTCAATCTGGGATTAGTTTTTCAGGGTAATCCCAGATTGTACCTTTAAGAATGGAAATAACCTTGGTGATCTAAACAGAAAAAAAAATGTGATAGCTAGATGAGATAATGACTACCTAGTTTAGTGATAAATTGGTATCAGCCGTTTTCATATTTTAATTAATATAATAAAGTCTAATGCTGGAATGTGTTTGTCATGTTACTTACCAGTGGCTAATTACACACACGCACACACACACACACACACACACATACACACACACACACACACACACACACACACACACTGTAAGTCGCTTTGGATAAAAGCGTCTGCTAAATGGCATATTATATATTATTAGCTAATGCTAAATGTCTACACTGTCTCTTTGACTTCCAGTGCTACTCGAAGGAGGGACAGAGATGTACAACAGGAGGACAATCTCTGAAGTATCCTACCAAAGAGGCATACCCCTACTCAACCTGGACTAAAGAATAATACAGTACAACAACAACCCATGCGTTCCCTTTGGGAGGAAGTATTCACCAATCACTAGGTGGGAACTGCACTAAAGAGCAATAGAGGGACCATGTAATACTTTACCTTCTTTGAGGAACATTTAGCCACCATGTTAGAACTAGTCTAAAGCATTCAAGAGGGCCACTCCAAGATCTACCCTTCATCAGCTCTGAGAGAACACTCAGACACTCCCAGGATGTGCCTACACTGAATGAGATCAGAACCCATGGCTTTCTTCACTAAATACCACCAGACTTCTCACAATGGACATGGAGGAGAGCTCCGTCCTAGACCTGGAGTATAGGGAATAGTGGGCTCCATCTTAGACCTGGGGACAGTGGGTAGGGGGCAGTGAGGTAGTGAGCCAGTCCATAGGAGATACGGGTGTGTGATAACCATCCTGGAGTAGGGGATAGGGGACTAGTCCATAGGAGGTATAGGGATAGTGTGCTCCATCCTAGACCTGGAGTAGGGGGATAGGAGACTAGTCCATAGGAGGTAGCCGAGGAGTGATAACCCCATGGTGGATCTTCTGTGAGGAGCACTGAGTACAGGAAGGACCCGGGAGGATGTCATCAGCCGGAGGAGAGTCAGCCAGCTCGGAGCTCCAAGCAGGTGTCAAAACCAGCACACTGAGACGGGAGTCCAGGAGGACTAAAGGTAAACATTCTAGATACAAACACAGAAATACATGGATGTAATGTAATGTAATGTATGCTATGCACATGCCCACACTCATGTGAACACACAAATAAAGTTATTATATTTGATTCAATTCTAACCCACCCACACAAACGGGAACATACACAGGGAAGGTATGGTACTGTACATGCATTACACGTTTCACCAACCCAGACAAAGTACACAGAGAAATGTACACTGTATTCTCACAGAATACACACCACATCCCAATCACCTACACACACATTTATAGACGAAATGAAAAGATAGACGCTTGTATGTTTGACAGTGAGCAGTGACAAACTTCTGTCTGTATTACAGTTTTTCTCCATTGCTTGAGCACATTTGTCCAAACAGAATTCACTTTTTCTAAACAATTAACACGTAGCCCCAAACTGAAACACGTTGGTCAAAATGACACATTTCATTTGCAAATCGCACTAAGACTCTCAAAACATTAAATACATGACACAAAACCAACTACCTCCATCAAAACATACAACTTGTTATCTAATGAAAAGTTATTTCAATCAATTGTTACACAATGGCCCAATAAATACTAACTACAACTATCAATATACCCTGACATGGTTAACCCTCTTTTATATGTCTGTGCCATTTGTTGATACTATGATTATAGTATGCACCATAAAAGGCAAGAAAACATATGATCACAGCATGGGCTGTGTTCTTTTTTCCTAAAATGGTTTTACCAAAGATGACCAATTCAGAAAGAATGTCACTCAAGAGCATGAATATCCAGAAACAAAAGGTTTTATTTGACCTTTTCCCATTTTAACTGAGAGCTGAACTATATTCCTCTGTGGGCCTCTCTACCTCTCCTTTGTCCTTGCCCTCTGCCTCTTACTCGGTCCGTTCTTGCAAACAGCAACTCAGAGGTTCTCTTCTACCTCTTTTACGCTGCTGCTACTCTCTGTTTATGATCTATTTGCATAGTCACTTTAATAACTCTACCTACATGTACATATTACCTCAATTACCTCGACTAACCGGTGCCCCCGCACATTGACTCGGTACCGGTACCCCCTGTTTTATAGCCTCGCTTTTGTTATTTTTACTGCTGCTCTTTAATTATTTGTTACTTTTATTTCGTAATATTTTATATTTATACAAATAACATTTGATTTGATTTGATTTGAAGCTGACCTCTTTTATGCATGAACAGGGACTGATTGCTGATTGAACAATTGTGCGAAGACGTTTGCACACGTGCAAAAGAGGTTCACATTCATGAGCGTAATTTGTGTCAGCTGTAACCAAATGTTTTAATTTTGTTGTCATGATTTACTCAAATTAGTTTTGCGTCTTTTGTAGAGTTGTGTTTACTGTTATGCAAAAATGTGCTTAGCATTTGCATTGTGTGTGAAAGCAATGAGAAAGGACTTACAGTTTCACAAAAATTAATAATGTAGGGCTCATTAGGTTATGATGGAGATCAAGTGGACCCCAGTTTCATTAAAAGTGTCTTAGAAAAACTGTAATTGTAGTCATTGTAGATAAATATCATTCCCCCTATCAGAGAAACCTTCAGGCAGCCTTCAGTTACAGAAAAGACGTGAGATAAAGAGAGACAGAGGGAGAGAGACAGCCAGAGAGAGGGGAGAGAGAGAAAGAGAGACAGAGAGATACATAGAGGAAGGGAGAGAGACAGAGAAAGAGAGATAGAAACAGAGAGAGCGACAGAAAGAGAGAGTGCGAGAGAGAGAGAGAGAGAGAGAGAGAGAGCGGGAGAGGGAGAGAGAGAGAAGAGAGAGAGAGAGAGAGAGAGAGAGAGAGAGAGAGGAGAGGAGAGAGGGAGAGAGGAGAGGAGAGAGGGAGAGAGGGAGAGAGAGAGATACACAGGCACAAACGACCTGAGAACACAGCAGGAAAGGGTGGCCACATCACTCAAGGGAGTGATAGAAAAAGCTTCTTCTACTTTCCCCAATGCACAAGTGGTTATCTCAACCCTGTTACCACGAAAATACTTCCACCCTGCTACCATACAGCGGGTAAACGCAAGTATTTCCCGTCACTGTGCATCAAAACCAAATGTCTACCTGGCCCACCACTCCACCCTGGACGTGAACAGCCTTTATGACCAGGTCCACCTATACAAGGCAGCAGTGCCCAACTTCGCCCGGACCCTAAAGGATATCGCCCTCAACCGCAGACCCAACACCTCACACAGGAGCAACAGATCAACAGACACCTCGCCCAGACCAGCGAGACACTCTCCCAGACCTGCGGGACCCCCCCCCCAGGACCTACACATAGAGGACCCCCGCAGAGAGGACCTACATCCAGACCACAGCACCATCAACCACATCTACACCCCCACCCCCACCAATTAACTCCCCCCCAAGTCAACCATGCCCACACCCCATTTAGGCCCCCTCAGATCAGACCTATGCCCCTCCTACCCACCCCAAGCCCCCCACTCCCACAAAGAGGGCCTCAACATGAAAGTCACACATACGCCCAGGCCGTGAGCAGGCAAACAGGCCCAACACCCACTCTTACACTAGCCCAAGCCAATGGCATGTACCAGATGCTCAGCAGGCTCTGCTCACAATTACTGGCCTGAGGCCAAACCACACAACCAACAACATTAGACACTTTATGGAACACAAAGCCTTCACTATTTCATCCTGGAATATCCAAGGCCTGAGGTCATCTGCCTTTGGCCTAAAGAGCAGGAATCTGGACTTCACCAAAGAAATCGGAAATACAGACATTGTCATCCTATAAGAAACATGGTATAGAGGAGACGGACCCACTGGTTGCCCTCTAGGTTACAGAGAGCTGGTAGTCCCATCCACCAAACTACCAGGTGTGAAACAGGGAAGGGACTCCGGGGGTATGCTAATTTGGTATAGAGCAGACCTAACTCACTCTATTAAATTAATCAAAACAGGAACATTTTACATTTGGTTAGAAATTCAAAAGGAAATTATCTCAACTGAGAAAAATGTCCTCCTGTGTGCTACCTATATCCCCCCACTAGAATCCCCATACTTTAATGAAGACAGTTTCTCCATCCTGGAGAGGGAAATCAATCATTTCCAGACCCAGGGACATGTACTAGTCTGTGGTGACCTAAATGCCAGAACTGGACAAGAACCTGACACCCTCAGCACACAGGGGGACAAACACCTACCTGGAGGTGACAGCATTCCCTCCCCCATATGCCCCCCTAGGCACAACTACGACAACATAACCAACAAAAACGGGTCACGACTACTGCAGCTCTGTCGCACACTGGGTATGTACATAGTCAATGGTAGGCTTCGAGGGGACTCCTATGGTAGGTACACCTATAGCTCATCTCTTGGCAGTAGTACTGTAGACTACTTTATCACTGACCTCAACCCAGAGTCTCTCAGAGCGTTCACAGTCAGCCCACTGACACCCCTATCAGACCACAGCAAAATCACAGTCTACCTGACCAGAGCAATACTCCATCATGAGGCATCAAAGCCAAAGGAACTGAATAATATTAAGAAATGCTATAGATGGAAGGAAAGTAGTGTTGAAACCTACCAAAAAACAATTAGGAAACAACAAATTCAATCCTTCCTGGACAAAACGTTCCACTGTAATAGTGAAGGTGTAAACTTGGCAGTAGAAAACCTAAACAGTATATTTGACCTCTCAGCTTCCCTATCAAATCTAAAAATCTCTAACAGAAAACCAAAGAAAAGTAATAACAGTGATAAATGGTTTGATGAAGAATGCAAAAACCTAAGAAAGAAATTGAGAAACCTATCCAACCAAAAACATAGAGACCCAGAAAACCTGAGCCTGCGCCTTCACTATTGTGAATCACTAAAACAATACAGAAATACACTACGGAAAAAGAAGGAACAGCATGTCAGAAATCAGCTCAATGTAATTGAAGAATCCATAGACTCTAACCACTTCTGGGAAAATTGGAAAACACTAAACAAACAACAACACGAAGAGCTATCTATCCAAAACGGAGATGTATGGGTAAACCACTTCTCCAATCGTTTTGGCCCTATAACAGAGAACAAACAGCAAACAAATATACATGATCAAATGCAAATCTTAGAATCAACTATTAAAGACTACCAGAACCCACTGGATTCTCCAATTACATTGAATGAACTACAGGACAAAATACAAACCCTCCAACCCAAAAAGTCCTGTGGTGTTGATGGTATCCTCAATGAAATGATAAAATATACAGACCACAAATTTCAATTAGCTATACTTAAACTCTTTAACATCATCCTTAGCTCTGGCATCTTCCCCAATATTTGGAACCAAGGACTGATCACCCCAATCCACAAAAGTGGAGATAATTTTGACCCCAATAACTACCGTGGGATATGCGTCAACAGCAACCTTGGGAAAATCCTCTGCATTATCATTAACAGCAGACTAGTTCATTTCCTCAGTGAAAACAATGTACTGAGCAAATGTCAAATTGGCTTTTTACCAAATTACCGTACAACAGACCACGTATTCACCCTGCACACCCTAATTGACAAACAAACAAACCAAAGCAAATGCAAAGTCTTCTCATGCTTTGTTGATTTCAAAAAAGCTTTTGACTCAATTTGGCATGAGGGTCTGCTATACAAATTGATGGAAAGTGGGGTTGGGGGAAAAACATACGACATTATAAAATCCATGTACACAAACAACAAGTGTGCGGTTAAAATTGGCAAAAAACACACACATTTCTTTCCACAGGACCGTGGGGTGAGACAGGGATGCAGTTTAAGCCCCACCCTCTTCAACATATATATCAACGTATTGGCGAGGGCACTAGAACCGTCTGCAGCACCCGGCCTCACCCTACTAGAATCTGAAGTCAAATGTCTTCTGTTTTCTGATGATCTGGTGCTTCTGTCACCAACCAAGGAGGGCCTACAGCAGCACTTAGATCTTCTGCACAGATTCTGTCAGACCTGGGCCCTGACAGTAAATCTCAGTAAGACAAAAATAATGGTGTTCCAAAAAAGGTCCAGTTGCCAGGACCACAAATACAAATTCCATCTAGACACACAAAAAACTATACATACCTCGGCCTAAACATCAGCGCCACAGGTAACTTCCACAAAGCTGTGAACGATCTGAGAGACAAGGCAAGAAGGGCCTTCTATGCCATCAAAAGGAACATAACATTTGACATACCAATTAGGATCTGGCTAAAAATACTTGAATCAGTTATAGAACCCATTGCCCTTTATGGTTCTGAGGTCTGGGGTCCGCTCACCAACCAAGAATTCACAAAATGGTACAAACACCAAATTGAGACTCTGCATGCAGAATTCTGCAAAAACATCCTCCGTGTACAACGTAAAACACCAAATAATGCATGCAGAGCAGAATTAGGCCAATACCCGCTAATGATCAAAATCCAGAAAAGAGCCGTTAAATTCTATAACCACTTAAAAGGAAGCGGTTCCCAAACCTTCCATAACAAAGCCATCACCTACAGAGAGATGAACTTGGAGAAGAGTCCCCTAAGTAAGCTTGTCCTGGGGCTCTGTTCACAAACACAAACAGACCCCACACAGCCCCAGAACAACAACAACAACAACAACAACAACACAATTAGACCCAACCAAATCATGAGAAAACAAAAAGAGAATTACTTGACACATTGGAAAGAACAAACAAAAAAACTGAGCAAACTAGAATGCTATTTGGCCCTAAACAGAGAGTACACAGTGGCAGAATACCTGACCACTGTGACTGACCCAAACTTAAGGAAAGCTTTGACTATGTACAGACTCAGTGAGCATAGCCTTGCTATTGAGAAAGGCCGCCGTAGGCAGACCTGGCTCTCAAGAGAAGACATGCTGTGTGCACACTGCCCACAAAATGAGGTGGAAACTGAGCTGCACTTCCTAACCTCCTGCCAAATGTATGACCATATTAGAGACACAAATTTCCCTCAGATTACAGCGATCCACAAAGAATTCGAAAACAAACCCAATTTTGATAAATTCCCTTATCTACTTGGTGAAAAACCACAGTGTGCCATCACAGCTGCAAGATTTGTGACCTGTTGCCACAAGAAAAGGGCAACCAGTGAAGAACAAACACCATTGTAAATACAACCCATATTTATGTTTATTTTTTTTCCCATTTGTACTTTAACTATTTGCACATTGTTACAACACTGTATATATACATAATATGACATTTGAAATGTCTTTATTCTTTTGAAACTTCTGAGTGTAATGTTTACTGTTAATATTTATTGTTTATTTCACTTTTGTTTACTATCTACTTCACTTGCTTTGGCAATGTTAACATACGTTTCCCATGCCAATAAAGCCCTTAAATTGAATTGAATTGAATTGAGAGAGCACGACTCCAGAGCTGTGCTGCTCCACCCAGGGATTCATCCAGATGCAGCAGCAGTTCTAGAGCAGCTATTGGCTGTAGCCCGGGGGTTGGTAGTGTCATGATTTAGGTGTCATGTTCGGGGGAGTTCACACCCTGTCGCTTTGATCAACAGCATAAGTGATGTAATAGGCCGAGGCAGCCTCTGAAAAATCACAGCGAGATTGAAATGGGATTGAATTGGCTGAAAGGGAGAGGGAGAGTAAAGAGAGAGTTGAGAGAGAGAGGGAGTGAGGGAGAGAAGGAGAGAAAGAAAGTAAGAGAAATGGCTCATGTTTGTCTCTCTCTGTCCCTCTCCTTCTCTCCTTTCATCCCTCCCTCCCATCTCTGCGTCCATGAATAAAGCCACTCCAGTGGTACAGTAAATCTGGCTTCTCCTAGAACAGAAGCGTCAGTAGCAGGACTCTGGGGCCAGGTCCTCTGTGGCCGTTTCACTGGGTCCGTCTGTCAGATCACACCAGATAAATGGCCGGGCTGGAGGATTTGAGTTAAGTGGATGAGGGGAGAGAGAAGGAGGCCTATTACGCATGTGGCCATGCGACGTGCAGGGCCACTGGCGGAGAGAGACTGGAGAGGCTATCAGAGAAGGTTATCAGCGCAGGCTTTAGCATGTTAATCAGCTGTGCTGCTGCTGCAGGGGAGTTGTAGCTATCACTGGATATGCCATTTAGATTCATAGAAATGGAAATGGGGTTAGCATGGAGATTGATACACACTGTCATACAGCACTGGGCTCAGAGAGGTGACTCACTGGGGCTGGGTGAAGGACCCTTTCAAGGTGTATTGGCAGGGCCTAGATGGATGGATGGATGGCAGAGTTTTAGACAAAGCCTGTGTTTGTTTGTCTAGGTGGTTGGGTGAATTATAGAGTAGGTTAATGTAAGTGTGTTTTCAGTGGCAATTTGGTTATTTCTCTCATTGTGCATTCCTGTGATTTCTCCCAATTATTTTATTTGTTAAAAAAATTTAATAAGCCATAAATCGTATGAATGAAAAGAGGTACAACCCACGTACAATAGAGGACAAATCATTTTAGCCTGTTAGATTTGAGCCCTTTTGTTTGAGCGATTTCGATCCATGGTGTTCTCCATAGCCAGACCAGACATTTAAAAAATCAAACCCTTGCTGCAGTGTGTGTGTGTGTGTGTGTGTGTGTGTATTTGCCTGTGATGGTAAAAGCAAGTATCCCCTCTGCCCATCGATGGAATCACTTCACTCAATCTCCATAGCAACTGTTGCTCGCTAACTGTGATCTGTGCAAAAAAAATGGCTCACTTAAAAACTAAAAAAACTAAAATCTACAGTCAGTAACTTCTATTATGTCTATTGAGCTGGCAGGGTTGAGATGCCCTAGAAATTACCATCATGGTCCCATGAATTTCAGCTCCACTGTATCTTCTATTCCAATCACTATTAGGTAATGGTGCCTCCTCAAACTCCCTCTAGTTAACCAATTTATCATCAGAAGTCTGACTATGCCATCATCGGCTACTCAGAGGTGTCATGCACCGACATGTTTTTTGAGAGGCCATCAAACTCAATATACACAACATGTCCAGAAGTATGTGGACACCTGCTTGTCGAACATTCCAAAATCATGGGCATTAATATGGAGATAGTCCCCCCTTTGCTGCTACAACAGCCTCCACTCTTCTGGGAAGATGTTGGAACATTGCTGAGGGGACTTGCTTGCGTTCAGCCACAAGAGCATTAGTGAGGTCGGGCACTGATGTTGGGCGATTAGGCCTGGCTCGCAGTAGCCATTCCAATTCATCCCAAAGGTGTTCGATGGGGTTGAGGTCAGGGATCTGTGCAGGCCAGTCAAGTTCTTCCACACCGATTTCGACAAACCATTTCTGTATGGACCTCACTTTGTGCACTGGGGTATTGTAATGCTGAAACAGGAAAGGGCCTTCCCCAAACTGTTGCCACAAAGTTGGAAGAATAGAATTACCTAGAATGTCATTGTATGCTGTAGCATTAAGATTTCCCTTCACTGGAACTAAGGGGCCTAGCCCGAATCATGAAAAACAGCCCCAGACCATTATTCCTCCTCCACCAAACTTTACAGTTGGCACTATGCATTGGGGCAGGTAGCATTCTCCTGGCATCCGCCAAACCCAGATTTGTCTGTCGGACTGACAGATTGTGAAGCGTGATTCATCAATCCAGAGAACGCGCTTCCACTGCTCCATAGTCCAATGAAGGCGAGCTTTACACCACTCTAGCAGACGCTTGGCACTGCGCATGGTGATCTTAGGCTTGTGTGTGGCTGCTCGGCCATGGAAACCCATTTCATGAAGCTCCCGTTGAACAGTTCTTGTACTGACGTTGCTTCCAGAAGCAGTTTTTAATAATAATATAATAATATGCCATTTAGCAGACGCTTTTATCCAAAGCGACTTACAGTCATGCGTGCATATTTTTTTTTTTGGGTGTATGGGTGGTCCCGGGGATCGAATCCACTACCTTGCCGTTACAAGCGCCATGCTCTACCAGCTGAGCTACAGAGGACCACTCAGTAGTGAGTGTTGCAACCGAGGACAGATGATTTTTACGCACTACGCACTTCAGCACTCGGCGGTCCCGTTCTGTGAGCTTGTGTGGCCTACCACTTCGCGGCTGAGCCGTTGTTGCTCCTAGACGTTTCCACTTCACAATAACAGCACTTATACTTCTAGCAGGGCAGAAATGTGAAGAACTGACTTGTTGGAAAGGTGGCATCCTATGATGGTTCCACGTTGAAAGTCACTGAGCTCTTCAGTAAGGCCATTCTACTACCAATGTTTGTTTATGGAGATTGCATGACTCTGCTCGATTTTATACACCTGTCAGCAACGGGTGTTGCTGAAATAGCCAGATCCACTAATTTGAAGGGGTGTCCACATACTTTTGTATATATAGTGTATTTGTATTCATTCTGTCAAGAATATAATCTATATTCTGTATATTTATCCTGAAAAAGCATCAAATTGGGGGGCACATGATCATACTGTTGTAATCATTGCTGTAATGATTCTGTCATTTGCCCCCTGCTAAAGAGTCACCTGACCATAACTACCCAGCCAAAGCACATCAATAAGTTTGTGTAACTGATGTGATCAATGTATTATCCACTGCATTGATGATGTGCAAAATACCCTTCGTTAACTCACTAATTGGTTTAACGATTCATTCAAAAGGCACCCCATCATCTCGTCTGTAGTGTGTTCACTGCTACACAGTGTAGACCTAGGCTCGATTCTCCACCCTTTTCCAGAGGTCTGCACTTGCACACTCCCCCTCATGGATTTAAAAGGATTGGTGTTGCATTGGCTGGATTGAGGTTCCACCTTTGTTAAATCTATGCGAGAAAGTGGAGAATCGGGACTCTGCCTTACTGTTATATTCTAATTCCAAGTCTGTGTGCATGGGGTCAGGGAATGTGTGTATAATGTTTAGTAAATGTGTGTGTGTGTGTGTGTGTGTGTGATGAGGCTTGTGAACGTTACTTCATCCACACACAGGGGATGGAAAGGAAGGGAAGGTAAAGGGAAGGGGTGGCAGATGGTGCAGACAGATTTGCCCTAATCTACTCTAGTCAGGCCTTCACACTCAGCCTCAGAAGACTAGAAGCAGAGACATGACAGGAGAACATTCTGTAAGACTGTCTAAAGCTGAGTTGTGAATGAACAGACAGACAAAAAGACAGATGAATGGATGAATGGATGCAAATATGGATGCATACATACATACAAATATATTGTAGCAATACATACATTCATATTGCACATGTATACATTCATATCATAAATAGACACTGATGCATGGATAGATGGGTAACAGCCTCTGTAAAGTTCAAAGGTTAAGCTTCCTTAGAGGCTGGGCTCCCGAACCAAAGTTCTTGTTGCCAACATCTCGTATCTGGAGGGCCACTTATGACTCTCCATCTGGTGCCATCATGCCATCTGTCCTTTCCTCGTCCCCATTTTACTGAAGCGGGGGGCGCAGCCACTATCTTCTCACAGCCAGCTAGTCCACTGACTCTACTTCCAAACTGGTATGGAGCAGGGATAGCGGTAATTGTCCTCTCAGTAGGTTGAGGTATTTTCGCCTCAGGTGGGTAACTGGAGCGCTTTAGTCTGAATTGCTCCAGAAACCTATGTTTACAGTTCCACTACTATACCCACGCTCTATTACAAAAACAGGGTTCTAGCAGTGCCTGCTATACTTTCATGTGGCTAGCCTAGCAAGCTACTCTGCATATGTTGACTCTCTGAGACTTCAAAATCACAGAATAAGGAGTAGGGACTTGCGCACCCTTTTTGTAAGCACTTCCAGGGGCCAAGAGAGTGTGTGTCATATTGTGCTTCTTCCCAAAGCTGGAAACATCATGCAAGCAACATCCTCATTCCCTGCAGCGGTTGTGCACTCACCGTGATGTGAACCCTGGGCACATACTGCAGGGGTTACCATGCTAGAATTTCCTATGCAGGGAGGGCTGCTTGGGGTTTTTGTAGATCTTTGCATAAATCTACTAAATCTCTCCTCAAGTGTGATTACACAGTTGGCATTCAGTACAGTGCAAAGCAGCAATCTGCTTAGGGGACTCAGATAGGGGGGGAAGCACTGGATGATACAGTACTGTAGTAGTACAATATATTTAGATAAGACTTGATGATAGATGATATATGATATGATGCACTTTATAAGCTGTTTTATGATGCAGCATTCTGTATGTTGAAGTGTATGATGCAATACATCAAGATGCACGCTATAATACAAATTCAATATGACACACAGTATGGGAAATGTGAATATAGGGAAGGGATGATCTTTCAAATGAACAGCACAAAAAATATGTGTAATGTAGTTTCACCCTTATAGTTATAGATCATGCATGCCAGCTGATAATGCATTAGACTGGTCTCCAACGCTCGGTGACTATATGAGCCTCATTTTCTAGGCCTATCCTCTAGCAGAGAAACAAGCATGAATTAGACCCCAGATTTGACATTCACCTACTTGGAGAGTTTAATGACTTAAGCATCTTCAAGCCCTCTCCCCCCTTTAGAGAGTTGAGCCCTCATGAATTAGTGAGCGAGTGTGTACCACAGGAGGCTGCTGAGGGGAGGACGGCTCATATTAATGGCTGGAATGTAGTAAATGGAATTCCATCAAACACACGGAAACCATGTGTTTGATGTCGTCGATACCATTCCATGAATTCCGTTCCAGCCATTACTATGAGCCTGCCGTCCCCAAGATGACGACAGGCTCTCCACGTTTCAACTTCATTCGCAGGGCCACTTAATTTGGCCTTTTTTTCACTTCCTATTTCTACTTCCCGGGGAATATAAACACTGACATACTATTTCACTGAAATATTCAGTGAGGGGGAAACTCAAATTACATTTCTGTAAGATGTGGCATGTGGATGGCATATGTTTTCAGTGGTGGAATAAGCTCATTTGGTGTAATATGGCTTGATGTTTTTTGTTAGGGATATTAAAGGCTGTCCTGCTTCTATTGCACAGACCTTAGCCATGCAACCTGTTTAAAATGCTCTGCTAACTGATGTGATATACAATACAGTCTCTTGACCTATAATAGTGAGGCAGAGCGGGGCCTGAAATAGTCTAAACTCTCCAAGGTGCCGTCGACCTTGAATTGAAATACCACTATCCCTGTGTGTCAGCGGTGTGTGTGTGTCAGCAGCAGCAGACGGTTAACACAGACAAACCACCTACAGGTTATGTAGAGACAGGTTACTCACAGACAAAGACAAGTGGAGGGTTTGGGCCAACATAATCAAAACAGCGGAGGGGAAAACAAAATGAGAAAAATGTCAGTGTCAAGGCGATGGTTAGGTGGGGGAGGACGATGACAGGAGAGACCGACAGAGAGGCCGGACGTACACTACATGTCCAAAAGTATGTGGACACCTACTCTCATTCCAAAATCATGGGCATTAATATGGAGTTGGTCCCCCCTTTGCTGCTATAACAGCCTCCACTCTTCTGGGAAGGCTTTCCACTAGATGTTGGAACATTGCTGCGGGGACTTGCTTCCATTCAGCCACAAGAGTTGAGCACTGATGTTGGGCGATTAGGCCTGGATCGCAGTCGGCGTTCCAATTCATCCCAAAGGTGTTCGATGGGGTTGAGGTCAGGGCTCTGTGCAGGCCAGTCAAGTTCTTCCACACCGATCTCGACAAACCATTTCTGTATGGACCTCGCTATGTGCACGGGGGCATTGTCATGCTGAAACAGGAAAGGGCCTTCCCCAAACTGTTGACACAAAGTTGGAAACACAGAATCAATCAGATTGTCATTGTATGCTTTTCGATAAGATTTCCCTTCACTGGAACTAAGGAGCCTAGCCGTTCTCCTGGCATCCGCCAAACCCAGATTCGTCCATCTGACTGCCAGATGGTGAAGCGTGATTCATCACTCCAGAGAACGCTTACCACTTCATGGCTGAGCCGTTGTTGCTCCTAGACGTTTCCGCTTCACAATAACAGCACATACAGTTGACCGGGGCAGCTCTAGCAGGGCAGAAATTTGACGAACTGACTTGTTGTAAAGGTGGCATCCTATGACGGTGCCGCATTGAAAGTCACTGAGCTCTTCCGTAAGGCCATTCCACTGCCAATGTTTGTCTATGGAGATTGCATGGCTAGGTGCTCGATTTTATACACCTGTCAGCAACGGGTGTGGCTGAAATAGCCGAATCCACTAATTTCAAGGGGTGTCCACATACTTTTTGTTTGTATCAAAAGAGCTTGTAGCTAGCCAGACAAAGATCTTTCCTCCATCTCCCACACCTCACTCCCACTGCCTCTCTCCCCCTCTGCCTCTCTCTTCCCTCTCTCCCTCTCTCCCTCCTTCCTCTTTTCTCATCCATCCATCACCTATAGGGGGCTTATGGGATTGTGGGCGTGCGCTGGACCGAGATGATTCCTCTCAATAGCAGCCTTTCATGATGTTTATCACCAGCCAACAGCTCCCATGGGAACAGAGGGGGGGGTGCAGTGACCACCCTCTGACCCCCTACCCCCCGGTCAGCCCACACCCTAGCTCCCGGAATGTCCTGCAGGGATAGGTGGTTCTGGATTGTTCAATTGTCAAGTTGTTATCTGATTTGGTTTACTCCTACAGTGGGCTATTTATATTTTGGCATATTAGTCCTTTGCAGAATAGATTTCATTTTTCGATTTTCAATTTTCTTTTTTTCACTGCTCCAATTTTCAGTCAGAAAACAAGGAGGACCGAGACACTCTTCACAGTATAAAAAGTCCTTTATTGCAGTGGCATGTTGTTCAGTAGAACATATTCTAAAAATCCCCTGATGTGTTTCGCCGTCATAGCCTTCATCAGGGAGACATTTTCTCCTGAGACCTTTCATCTTAATATTCCATAAATATTTATTTTCCCACCTACAGCACCCCTCTACCTCCGCACGCACAGACATAGACACAGACACACACACACACCTCTGAGCCGCTCAAATCAGCTGAACTGACATGTCCCTCCTACAGTACCTGTCTAATATAATTGTTCTCCTTCCTCCTCTCTCACTCGCTCTCCCTCTCTTTGTACCCCCCCCCCCCCCCATCTCTCTCTCCTTCTCTCTCTCTCTCTCTCTGCAGGTCAGGACCGCAGTGAGGCGGGGCTGATTAAGCGTTTCCGTGGTGATGGCGTGCGCTACAAGGCCAAGCTGATTGGGATTGATGAGGTGACAGCAGCGCGCGGGGACAAGCTGTGCCAGGACTCCATGATGAAGCTCAAGGTGTGTGTGTGCGTGAGTGTCTGATAACGAGGACAGTGCTTTGAAGAGGGTGGAGGTATTCAGGTGTAAAAGAGGAAGTGAATTCCGACATCTCTATTGATGCGTCTTTGCAGGACCCAGATTTAGTTACAAATCCATCTACAGAAGAGAGAAAACCCACTGGGCACACCACGTCATTTCAACGGGGAAATGTTGACAATATTTGGTTGAGACTTTGATCAATGAGATTTTAACCTTTATTCACCCACTCAAAAAGACAGCCAGAAGTTTGTTGAACTCCCATTGTGTTATCACTATGCTTTCAATAATCTAAAAGCGCAACCAAATTCCAATGGACAAACAATGTCTGATTTTTGGTGTATTTGTCATCTAAATGTGTTATCACTGCGGTTTCAACCATTTAAAAGCACAACAAAGTTCAAATGGGAATACATTGTCAGATATTTTGCATTTATACAACTTAATGTGTTATCACTGTGTGTCATCTAATAGCACAAAATAATGATCTGGATTGCAGTTGAGATTACATAGTGCAAGTGATCAAGGCTGTTCGAGATTCTGCACAGATTATTACAGCAATTGTGAAGATCTCCACTTACCTGCGAACTTTGCATGCTATCTTGAACATGCACGCTTTCTATGATTAAATAAGAAGACATTTATAGTTACAGTAGGCTAACCTCGAAATGTGGCCATGGATGTGTTACTCAAGGTTGAATAAATACTGTTACATTAGTTTGTAAGATAAGTTAAGGCTATTTACTGTATTGCAAAAATATTATTGAATTGTGTTTGGTTGAAAACGCAACCAAATATCAACATTTGAAGGATATCTAATGATTGGATAGTTTCATCTGAGCCACTGGCTTAATCCTATTGTCTAAATTCTATTTTGGGTTTAGTTAGAGATGTGAATCCAACATATAATTTGTTAACTTGCCGACAAGTTAATAGCCTATTTACTGTATTGCAAAAGTGATATTGAATTGTGTTTGGTTGCAAACAAATTCCAGTTTGTCTACAAAGTAATAATCAAAGTTAAAGAATAGGACTAAATCAAATCAAACTTTGTTTAAAGTGCATTTCAAGTTGACTTTGATTTGATTTAGTCCTATTCTTTAGCTTACACTTTTGGTGGAGATGGAGACGTGAATCCAACATATCAATTAATAATTTGTAAACAAACTGTAATTAAAGCCAGACTAAGTCAGTGGCACAGATGGAACTATCCAAGCACAAAATACATCTCCTTCAAATGTTGATATTTGGTTACGTTGACAACCAAACACAATTCAATATCCAGTTTGGCTACAAATGTATAATTGATATGTTGGACTCACGTCTCCATCTCAACCAAAAATAAAAGTTAAAGAATAGGACTAAATCTAATATAATCCCACTTTAAATGGACTTTAGTTAAAGCTTGATTTGATTTAGTGTTATTCTTTAACTTTGATTTTTGGTTGAGATGGAGACGTGAATCCAACATATTAATGATTAAGTTGAAGATTCAATTTGAGGTCTATATGTATGTCTATTTTTAGTTGAACCCTGGGTTGAATTGAAACAATAGCTGTTGATGACTACAAATGCTATATAGGCCTAAATAGTATTATTGATGATATATGACTTGGTCACATTTCATTTGCTTTGTTAAACCTACCCTTTGGATTGAATTCAATGCCAACAGTGAATATATTTAGTTAGTAGCCCTTACCTGCAGTCAAATGACTCATGGCCTCATGGGTGGAATGTTATTAATAAACTTTTTTTTTTTACCAGATGAAAAAATCTGGTGTTTCTATGTCAAACAGTTTTGATATATTTCAGTCTTCTGTGATGTATATAAAGTGTAATATTGGGTTGCAAACTCAAAATGTAATACATTTCAACTCCACATATCTGGCTTTTTTTAAGCCCATAACTATGTGTGTGAGGTGTATACTTTGGTTTCAAAGTAAATTTGTTTAAGACGACGAAGAAACACTCTGTGACCCTGATTTAGCCCACTGCAGTAAAAGGTTTTAAGAAGTCTCTCAATAATCACTCTCATGATAGCACATTGGTAGTAGTCAGTGACAAGTATAAAAGCTAAGCAGGGCTTGGTTAAAACCCTGGATTGGAGACCAAATGAATAGCTGTAGATCATCTCTCCAGTAGGAGGTGCTGCTTAGCCAATTTCATTTTTTTAATAGTGGAAATACATTGAGTATACCAAACATTAGGAACACCTTCCTAATATTGAGCGTTGATTCCATTGCTTCCCACGTTGACTCCAATCCTTCCCACAATTGTGTCAAGTTGGCTGGATGTCCTTTGGGTGGTGGACCATAATTGATACACACGGGCAACTGTTGAGCATTGCAGTTCTTGACACTGGTACGCCTGGTATCTAAAACCATACCCTGTTCAAAGGCACTTCAATGTTTTGTCTTGCCCATTCACCCTCTGAATGGCACACATACACAATCCATGTCTGAATTGTCTCAAGTCTTAATTAGGGATCATAGCTTTCACCTGGATTCACCTGGTCAGTCTGTCATGGAATGAGCAGGTGTTCTTAAGGTTTTGTATACTCAGTGTAAAGTTGAAGATCTGATGTTGTTTCAAAGGTACAAATTCAACATATTTTATACAAGGTTTGTCTATGTTTAAAATTGGTTACAATGATGACCAGCCTGGTCTCATAGACTAGATGTAACATAGTAAATGTAAATCCGAGAACACTGAAATTAGTACATAATGTTACATTTGGTATGGTTACTTAAGGCAAAAACGAAAGTAGGGTGTTTGGTCGGGTGGATGGGTAGGCATATAACATGAATGTATAGCAACCCAAAGGTTGCGAGTTTGAATCTTATTACAGACAACTTTAGCATTTTAGCTAATTAGCAACTGTTCATCTACTTACTACTTTTTAGCTACTTTGCAACTACTTAGCATGTTAGCTAACCCTTCCCCTAACTCTAACCTTAACCATTTTAGCTAACCCTTCCCCTAATCCTAACCTTAACCCTTTAACTGGGGCGGCAGGTAGCTTAGTGGTTAAGAGCGTTGTGCCAGTAACCGAAAGGTCGCTGGTTCTAATCCCCGAGCCGACTAGGTGAAAAATCTGTCGATGTGCCCTTGAGCAAGGCGCTTAACCCTAATTGCTCCTGTAAGTCGCTCTGGATAAGAGCGTCTGCTAAATGACTAATTATTTTTATTATTTATAACCTAACTCCTAAACTTAACCCCAACCTTAATCCTAACCCCTAATCCTAACCTCTAACCTAGCTAACGTTAGCCACCTAGCTAGAATTCACATTTTTCTAATTCGTAACATATTGTACAAATGGTAATTTCATAACATCCACAAATTAATACATACCATACGAAATGTAACATATCATACTAAATGGAGTGTCTCTGATTTACGTACAGAATAATACGAAATGTTCACCCTCCAAACAGATTACTTTTTCCGAATCCAATGTATTTTCCACATAGATTCCACGTCACAATACGTTGACAAATTACATTGAAACAACGTTGATTCAACCAGTTTGTGCCCAGTTATATTATGTCTCTTCTGGACGATTTAAACCATGCTGGAGACATAGTAGCATTACCGCACAGCCAACAGGCAAAGCCATCTCCTGCTCTGATCCTCTCATGTCAGATGTAGTATGAGTTGCTCCACATGTCCAATAACACAACAAGCAGGAGTTTTTTAGATCCACGCTGTGACATTTGAACACTGACCTGCCTATGACTCCCATATCCAGCAGTCACCGCCAGTTACAGTCAATGCTCTTATGTCAATACAGGCATGCTATTATCTAGACAGGCAGAGGAATGGGATGGAGGGGTGGAATAGAGGAGGGGAAAGGGTCTCTATCGAGCTGCCTCTCTAAGCTTGAGGACTTAATCCACCAAATGGAGAAGCCGATTGTCAATTGACGACAGCCATAGACACCCCTCTCCTCTATTCATTCGATCACTCTTTGTTTCCCACTCTGGAGAATGAATGAAGGGAGGGAGGGAGTTTGATGGTTGATGTTTTCAAAGCGTCTCTGTATTAATGGCTGAGATTCCGAGCTTGTGCTGAGGTTGAAAAGAGGAGAGAGGGGGGATATAGTGTGCTGGTAGTGTACGGGGTCGCTCGCTCAACCCTCCTCGACGTGACTGGGGTTCCAGGGTTGTCAGACATGATCAGCGTTCACAATGAGGTTCTGCCTTCTTTCTCTTCTCACACAGCTTCTTTACATGAAAGACATGTCAGGCGTGCGTTAGCGAGGGAGGGTCCTGCCTCGATATAAGTCTGAGGAACATGCAGGAAATGTTAATTGTTTTTGTAAGGGGAAAAAGGAGCTGAGATGCATGGGAACATCTACTTCAAAGGCTCCGTGGTTGTTCAGTCAGCAAGACGTGACGGCAGTGTTCCAGCGAGGTGTAGGTTAGGCTACGGTCGGTCAGCAGAATACATTCAGTCAGCGCAACTCAAACTCGCTACATTGAAGTTTGGCGGCTTGTGTCACGAGGTGCAGGCAGCAGCAGCCTACTTAAAAAACCAGCCTCTCAAATACTAAACAATAAAAGACTCTGTGATGAAAAAGAGAAACAGTGAAGTGTTGAGAGAATAAAGGTTCAAAAAGAGCAACATGAAAGAATGTTCTGTCCTATTGCACCTTATGTAAAAGCTGCCACCCTCTTCCCTCCCCTCATCCCCCTCTCCTCCTCCTCTCCTTCTCCCCCCTGTCATACTTACCTAAGTCGATGGTACACTGCTGTCTTTCATGCTGAGCGTATTTCCCTTCATCTCCCTGTATCTCTTCTTCTCCTACAGGGAATGGCTTCGTCGGCGCGCTCCAAAGGAGAGCACAAGCAGAGAGTCTTCCTCACCATCTCCTTCGGAGGGATCAAGATTTACGACGAGAGATCAGGGGTGAGTGAGTGATGAGGCTCCACAGCGTAGCTGCGCAGCCAGGCATGCACTATGGCTGAGCTGAGAAGCGTAGCCAGGCCCAGCTCCAGCTGCTGTGAACTTTATAGGACATTCAGAGGGCAGAGGCTCATACAAGTTCAATCACAGTCATGTAGAAGAAGGGCAGCCATCTTGTGCGCCTACCTGGCATATGGTGCAGTTGACATGCCAGGGAACACAACAAAAGCAGATAGATATAAACATTATGTAGGGTGTCCAATCAAAAACGCATCTTTTGACCAATGGGTAAAATAATATGTTAATTGTGTAGATACTCCTCTAAGAAAATCAAACCTCCAAATGGAGGCCGGTGGAAAAAAGTTAGTAAAAAATCTGGAAAATAGGCTACCTGACAGGCTCACCGTTGAATTCGTCATATTTCTTTCGTCGGAGGACATAAAACAATATAAAGGTAAGATTAATATCGATTTTGACACATGACATGTAATATTTTCATACTTTAGTATACGCTTTCATATAAATGTGAAATGCATGTTCTTTTTCAAAGATTTCTTACAAAAACAAGTTTAGCCTATATCTGTGAAATGTCAACGGAGCACCACAACATGTACAATCCTCAAGTTGCTACGAGCGAGTGACACTGCTCTGTCAACAGAGCTCGGTGCTTATTATCGGATGTATTAGAATACGAAATCCGACTTTTTGGATACAATGTTAATGACATGTTAGAGAAAGACCCCACTGAATGATTCAGAACATGAAGAATCATATTTGTCTTGGTAAAATTGACATTTCATCACCAAGGCGCTTTTTCACCCACGCTGGGCAGAGTGGATGGATACTCTACATTATGGTAAAAGTTTCATCAAGCCTTCTAATTGGCTAGGTGGAAATGTCGCAATATTGCTTCCACCCATATAATCCTTAGATCTATTCTCCTGTGTAGATATAGCAACATCAGTGTCTAGGGAGTAGGGGCTAGGGGTTGATTTGAAATGTAGAATGAGTTAACTGCTTTGACTTAACCTGGGCCTGGTCTGGCCTGGCCTGCTGTATGATGGCTACTGTCTGATGATAAAGACCTGTCTGTTATAATGACAGTGTGTATATGAGTGATGTGATGTTATCCCCTTCCCCCTCCTCCCCTCCCCTGGGGGCCCAGAGGCCTGCTGTCCCCCCCCCCCCGTTCATCACCGCTATCCACTAGGCTAATTAGCCCACAGTTCCACCCCTAATCATCATCATTGCTAACTGCTAGCCTAATTGTCCCATAGCTCCACTTCAACTGTCATTAAATTGAAAAAAGATAATTACGCAATACTGTATATAGACCCGCCCCACAAGACTCCTCATAGTTTGATCTTTGATGACTTCCATTTTTATTTTCGTTGGATAGTGGCGCCACCCGTTATTCGCCACCAGCCCTGTCATTTATCAACAACAACTAGATAATACCCCTCATAGAGCCATGTAGTGTGTGTGTGTGTGTGTGTGTGTGTGTGTGTGTGTGTGTGTGTGTGTGTGTGTGTGTGTGTGTGTGTGTGTGAAAACCCCACCCCCTGACGCTCATCACCACATGTGGCTTCTGTAATTTTGTTTGAGAATCATCGTCCCCCTAATGCTCTTTCATTTTATAAACTGATTTCCCCAACAATCATTATGGTAAAATATGGGGCTTTTTCAGCAGGACGAGGCATTGCAGAACATTCAGATAGAAATGTGTAATGCAGAAAAGACACCATTTACTGTCAACTAGACTATAGAATATTGTCAGCTCTAGTATGTTCTATTTCTCTCTGCAACGTTCTTGTCATTGCACCCCACTGAATAAGCCCTAGTTTATTTCTTAGTAGCTCATTCCCATTGCTCAAAGCTTATCAACGCTATTAGTGGAGCAGCAGGTGGGAGTAGATGAGTGACAGCCCAACTACTGTGAGTGTGTATGTGCACGTGTACGTGTGTCGACACACTTGTGTGTGTGTGTGTGTGTGTGTGTATGATCATTGACCTGCGTGTATGAATATATGTGTGTGTGTGTTAGTTGTACTTTTAAACTGGGTGTTCAGGGCTGCCCTGTGGATGAACCACGCTCTGTTGACGACGCATCTTTTTGCATATTGCATATTGCACAATACACAACATCAACATTCTCCCCAGGTTAGAAAAATCTTCCAAATATGTGAAAAAGGGTTGTCTGATACACGCACAAACAGACACACACACACCCTGATCTGCTGTTGTTCATGCAGTAAATGTGCTGCATCTCCTATCCCACTGAGACATGTGAGAGTGGAAATGAGGAGAGAAAAGGAAGGATGGCAAGTGGCAGTTATTCTTGTCAAGACTATTCCCTGTCAACAGTAAGACAAAGAAAGAATAATGCCTTTACATTTGCTTTCCCTCGTTCCCTGCTGCGGTGAATCTGGAGCACCATATTGCCATAGTATTAGAATTAGTAAGAAACTGTAGCCTACTTACCGTGAACTCTCAGTTCACTTCCTCATTTTGAAACAAATCATTATTTCAAGAATTCATGAAATTCATAGAAATGTATAGAGTAGAGCCAGGAGTTTTCCTAGACAGGTCACATGTCTGAAAAAACTCCCGGATCTAACTAAACTATAAAATCAGGACCTTGGGCCTACAGTATCCAACATGGGTCTCCAAGCCCCCTCCATTTTGTATGGTCCATTTCCTCATCCTGACCTGTCACTTCCTCTTCCTTGTTTCCCAGATCTACTACATAATTTCCTGCCCTTAACTTATGCCACTTCCTCCCTGTGTGTTCAGGTTCTGCTGCATCACCACTCAGTGCATGAGATCTCCTATATCGCCAAGGATACCCGGGACCACCGGGCCTTCGGCTACGTCTGTGGGAAGGAGGGACACCACAGGTTCGTGGCCATCAAGTCTGGCCAGTCGGTGAGTAGCGTACCTGAGATCCTAATGAGGTGCAGTAGTCAGAAATAACGTTAAAGCTCATGTTATAATCAATCAACACATTCCAAATACAATACCTAGTGTTGCAACAAGGAAGCAACAATTTATAACAAAGTCGAAAGATTGTCCCATCTCCAATAGGAAGGACTCTGCTTTTATGCTTTTAGATATTTGCAGCACTGTATAGTTGGGATTGTGACGTAAGTTTGTGTGAACAACATGTGTGTCGTCTAGAAGATGATGAAGGTGTGTGCTCCTCTTCCTACCCCTCCCTGCCTTGCTCCCTGGTAGGCAGAGCCGCTGATCATTGACCTGCGTGACCTCTTCACACTCATCTACGACATCAAGCAGCGCGAGGAGATGGAGAAGAAGGCCCAGAAGGACAAGCAGTGTGAGCATGCCGTCTACCAGGTAAATAACAACAACAAACAACAACAGAACTGTTACCATGATCGTTATGCATCACAATAACAGTGGTCCTCTGTAGCTCAGCTGGCAGAGCACGGCGCTTGTAACGCCAAGGTAGTGGGTTCGATCCCCGGGACCACCCATACACAAAAATGTATGCACGCATGACTGTAAGTCGCTTTGGATAAAAGCGTCTGCTAAATGGCATATTATTATTATTATAACATGTTGGCCATATTGAGTGTACCCATGAGTATAGTGAGAGATATTAGAGGAAGGGAGATGACGCGTATCCACATTTTCCCATTGAAAAAAATGGTTCATGTCTGTCAAAGTGGGCATGCTCTTGCGTGAGCATGCTTTCTCGCGTAGCCTAGCGACCAGCAGGCAGAGATGACTGCTTCACACGCTTTGAGAACTAGTACAGACCTCGGGTTGGCCTCTGACTGCAATGCAAATTATTTACAGTGTTTTGAGGGACGATATTATACTGACTTTCATGCATCGAAAGATGCGTGTCAATGTAAAATACCTAATGTAATGTACAGTGAGGGAAAAAAGTATTTGATCCCCTGCTGATTTTGTACGTTTGCCCACTGACAAAGAAATGATCAGTCTATAATTTTGATGGTAGGTTTATTTGAACAGTGAGAGACAGAATAACAACAAAAAAGTCCAGAAAAACACATGTCAAAAATGTTTAAATTGATTTGCATTTTAATGAGGGAAATAAGTATTTGACCCCCTCTCAATCAGAAAGATTTCTGGCTCCCAGGTGTCTTTTATACAGGTACGAGCTGAGATTAGGAGCACACTCTTAAAGGGAGTGCTCCTAATCTCAGCTTGTTACCTGTATAAAAGATACCTGTCCACAGAAGCAATCAATCAATCAGATTCCAAACTCTCCCCATGGCCAAGACCAAAGAGCTCTCCAAGGATGTCAGGGACAAGATTGTAGACCTACACAAGGCTGGAATGGGCTACAAGACCATCGCCAAGCAGCTTGGTGAGAAGGTGACAACAGTTGGTGCGATTATTCGCAAATGGAAGAAACACAAAAGACCTGTCAATCTCCCTCGGCCTGGGGCTCCATGCACGATCTCACCTCATGGAGTGCAATGATCATGAGAACGGTGAGGAATCAGCCCAGAACTACACGGGAGGATCTTGTCAATGATCTCAAGGCAGCTGGGACCATAGTCACAAAGAAAACAATTGGTAACACACTACGCAGATGAAGGACTGAAATCCTGCAGCGCCCGCAAGGTCACCCTGCTCAAGAAAGCACATATACATGCCCGTCTGAAGTTTGCCAATGAACATCTGAATGATTCAGAGGAGAACTGGGTGAAAGTGTTGGGGTCAGATGAGACCAAAATGGAGCTCATTGGCATCAACTCAACTCGCCGTGTTTGGAGGAGGAGGAATGCTGCCTATGACCCCAAGAACACCATCCCCACCATCAAACATGGAGGTGGAAACATTATGCTTTGGGGGTGTTTTTCTGCCAAGGGGACAGGACAACTTCACCGCATCAAAGGGACGATGGACGGGGCCATGTACCGTCAAATCTTGGTTGAGAACCTCCTTCCCTCAGCCATGGCATTGAAAAGGGGTCGTGGATGGGTATTCCAGCATGACAATGACCCAAAACACACGGCCAAGGCAACAAAGGAGTGGCTCAAGAAGAAGCACATTAAGGTCCTGGAGTGGCCTAGCCAGTCTCCAGACCTTAATCCCATAGAAAATCTGTGGAGGGAGCTGAAGGTTCGAGTTGCCAAACGTCAGCCTCGAAACCTTAATGACTTGGAGAAGATCTGCAAAGAGGAGTGGGACAAAATCCTTCCTGAGATGTGTGCAAACCTGGTGGCCAACTACAAAAAACGTCTGACCTCTGTGATTGCCAACAAGGGTTTTGCCACCAAGTACTAAGTCATGTTTTGCAGAGGGGTCAAATACTTATTTCCCTCATTAAAATGCAAATCAATTTATAACATTTTTGACATGAATTTTTCTGGATTTTGTTGTTGTTATTCTGTCTCTCACTCACAAATAAACCTACCATAAAAATTATAGACTGATAATTTCTTTGTCAGTGGGCAAACGTACAAAATCAGTAGGGGATCAAATACTTTTTTCCCTCACTGTATAACTGTGTCCACAATGGTATGTATTATTATGTTGGAAAATATATACAGGAACTCCGACATAAGCTGATCCAAATAGGTTAAGACTAGGCACTCTCGTCTGAGTTCCTAATAGGATACGCCTGTTTTCCCCTAAGTCAATGGCTGATTGCTCACACCTGATGTACTTGCATGCTCTGTTGTTCTTGCTCTGTTCTTCTACCTATCTGTCTTCTTCTTGTTATGTAAAACGTTCCTTCTCTTCAACCATCCCGCAGACCATTCTGGAGGACGAGGTGGACGATCCCGTTTACCAGGTACGTCGCCACACAACACACAGCCAATGAGAACTAGCGATGAAACCCCATGTGACCTTTACGCTCTAGCTTCTACTGACGACAGGGTGTTCATGTGATTAATTCCATGAAATAAGAAACAATTAATCCTTAATGTAAATATCTGCCACTGATCTGCTTGAATTAATGATTCATGATATCCAAACCATCCCAGTAATACGCAGTAGACCAACCATCATAGTAGACGGTTTTGTTCAACCATTCGACTCTCCCATTGCAGTGTTGTTAAACCATATATTTTCAGTTGATCTGTGTATATGTTCTGATTTTCTTCTAAAGACCTATCTGATCCTGACTGGTTGTTCTCCCCTCTTGCTTTTGGCTGAACCTGATACTCTACTCTGTTGCTCACACTGAATACAGACAACACAAACCCTTACTCTGAATGCTTATGTTCAGTTGTTATGCCATACCCCTTCCAAAATGTCTATTGTTTGCCCCTTTAGCTTTTACTACTGTATACCCCCCCCCCCCCCACCCCCCCCCCCCCCCCCCCCAAAAAAGTTGTAATTTGCAATTCTGTAGTAGTAGTAGTGACTGTTCGTTTGTTTTGTTTCGAATACAAGAGTCAAATGACTATTGGCAGAATCCAAACTTGAGATCCGTGCGTGTAACTAACTCAGACGCGGATCTCAAGTCAGGATTGCCCCCTCTGTGTCTAGGTGTTAGTGGAGAGGTGCAGCAGTATTCTGCTGAAGTTGGTGAAGGGAGAGCAGAACTCTAGACCTCTTCAGTACCTGGAACTACTGCCTGACCAATTACTGTGCTCTCTCCTCTTCCTTCTTCACTCTATCTTCTCTCTCTCTTTCTTTCCTTTTTTTCAATTTGTTTTATCTGGGGATTCTATTTTTTTATATTCTAATTCTATCTTCTCTGTCTCTGATCATTAGAGAGAGATCGATAGCGAGAGAGCGGGCTCTCTCTCGTTAGGGGATCTGCTCTTCTTTCTTGCGTATTCTTTCTGTCGCTCTTTCTGATTCGCTCTACTCTCTTCTCGCTACTCTCTCTCTCTTCTCGTCTCTCTCTCTCCTTCTCTCTCGATCTCTTTCTCTCTCTCTTTCTCTCTTTCCATTCATCTCGTCATGCTCCATCCCTCTTGGCCACGCCCACTACCTCTGTTGTAGTACATTGTGTTTGAGGCTGGACATGAGCCCCTCCGTGGCCACCAATCAGAGGAGAGCGTTTACCAGGTACAATACCAAGCCCTACCCCTTCCTTACCTTTTGTAGAGTAGTCATCCCAGAGCTTTGTGTTACATTATAATATTTATGTTTGTTAGAGAGCAGAGCAGTACACTTTGGATAAAATAGTATACTCACAATGTTCCTAATGTTAATTAGAATAACATCTCAAATCTACAGTTCAGTGAAGTGCAGTCATGGCCAGTTATTTTGGCAGACCAATTCATCCAGGCTTCTCTAGAGTCTATGTGGCTCCCTGCAGACATCCAGAGGTTTGACCTTCCAGCTCAGTTCAAGGGACCAACAAGAGCCTTTAGGGACCTAGAGTTTGATTTAATCTGGCCCCCCCTCATCCCTCCCCCCACCCCCCTCACCCCACCTTCCTCACCCCACCCCCTCACCCCAACCCGTCACCCCACCCCCTCACCCCACCCCGTCACCCCTCCTCCCTTACCCCACCTCCCTCCCCCCACCTCACTCACACCACCCCACCCCACCCCCCTTCCCCCACCTCCCTAACCCCACCTCCCTCACCCCACCCCCTCACCCCCTCACCCCATCTCCCTAATCCCCTCCTTCCCCTTCCCCTCCCACACCTCCCTCACCCCACCTCCTCACCCCACCTCTTCTAACCCCCTCCTCCCTTACCCCCCCTCCCTCACCCCTACTCCCTCGCCCCTCCTCCTTTCTCCTTCCACCTCCCCCTCATTCCCTCCACTCTCGTCCCCCTCCTCCTTCCAACTCCTCCCTCCTCGCTGCCCTCCCTCCTCCTCCCTCCTCCCTCCTCCCTCCTCCCTCCTCCTCCTCTCCCTCGCCTTTCTGAAGATGAAAGATGAGTCGAAATTAATTATTTGCCATGCCATTTGAACTCCAAATGAAACAAGATCAATAGGCGAGAAGAAAATTCCGCCCAACTCCAAGTCAGCCAGCCGAAAGAGCTAGAGAGGCCATATTGTTCACTATGGTTAATAGATTAATGTGAGAAAAATATACAAAAGAGAGGAGAGGGCAAGCGCTCCAGCGTTGTCAGTTTCCATAGATTTAAACCTCTAGTTGAACGTGATACAAATAGAGAAAAACTATTGTATAATCTTAATATCAAAACAAAGAAGTAGCACACACAATCTTACAACATTGCTTTCAATCAATATTGATTTAAATAGAGTTGATTCAAGAGCTGTGCAACTGTAGAATTTGCATAACATTGCTTTTAAACAGTTCAAAATATTGCCAAACATTTGTAGACCAGAGACCCATTCTGAAATGATGAGAGTGTTTCAGCTGTAGCAGTAGAAAGGATTCATTTAGTAATAAATAATCTTTTTTTCTTACTCAGCCTTGGTAAAATGGTGTTGCTCAAGCTCACTTTATTCTTTTACTTTGACTCGACCTCCAACACAGGTCCCTACCGCTACCAGTCAGCAGAAGGGAGAAGGGATCTATGATGTCCCAAAACGCCATTTCATGACTGTAGGTGCTTTTGTTTTTGTTTAGTTTTTTGTTCGTCCACTCCCTCCACTGGCAAACCTCTCATTCCCTCACTAAGGAGTCCTCCCCTCTTCTTTAGTGTCCATTTATGAACCCCTGTCTGTGTGACCTTGTGGAATTATTGGACCCATAACCACCTCGCCGACACACATAGACATGGTCATATACACCCACAGACTGGTTATTAGCAGTGTGTTTCCAGGTAGTGGTTGCCTGCCTGTGCAGTCTGATATCAATTTTCCTGGGCAAGGAATTATCAAGCGTCAGGCCTAAGTATATTTTTACAGTATCTAAGGTTATAAAGATGCAATGATATTGTATATTGCAATATATATTGGTATGTATATGTTGTATATTGTATTGTTATGCATAGCCTGCCCCAACATATAAATGATTGGCCCATCTAGCTTAGATGTGACACCAGTTGTTAAGATAAATCCAGTGGAGATGAAGTCTTCACAGACTTTAAAATATCCTCCACAGAATTTGGTCCTCCACAGAATTTAAAATATAGAGGACTATTAGACATCAAAGAGGCGTCATTTCTTAAATAAAGACAAAATGGTTTGCATTTCCAGTTTTATCAATATATTTTCTACAGCAGATTCATTTTTGACCACAACAAATAGACAGATCATGGATTAACTTTTTGGTTGAGCAAAACTGAAATTATATTTATTTCCATCCTTTCACCATGTCAGATGCAATAGTTAGTCATTCTCCGAACCATCATCCAAATGTTTATTCAAGCCTATTCATCAAGACATTTACATGGAGAGAGAATAAAACGTCCATATGACTTCTGAAACAAACCCTAGAAGAAAGCTTTCTTTCTCTCCTCTCTTTCTCTCTGTGCTGATAGTTCAGCAGCATATCAACTAGATATGATATCTATACTGTCCCCCTGCTATCTCTCCCCAAAACACATCATGCTAGCTGGTGTTGTATGAATAGCTGCCGACACTGCTTCCATATCTGTAAGAGTTACTGCTTGTCTGTGCATTCAGTTGGAGCTTTACTGAGAGATCCCCCATAGCCTGATGTGTGTGTCACTCTGCCTGCCTGTCTGCCTGAGGGGAAGGCCTATACTATAACCTATGTCTGCCCACCTCTTACAAACTACTGTACCTCCCTCCTGCTCCTTATGGATGAATGGGACTGTAAGATCAAGGCATAATGTCTAACAACAATATATATGATCAGATTCCCCCACACACTTCAAACAGGACATAGACAATGTTATGTTACCCCCTCCTCCTCCCTTCACCAACACTGATTGCTGTTTTCCCCTCATTTTCGCTCTTCTTTTCGTGTCTGCGCGTGTGTGTGTGTCTTTATTTATAGCATGCAAATCCTGTGTGTGTTCCCGTGGTGATACATCATCTGCTTGTGCATGGCCCCTGCAGTCTAGGATATACATTTCATGCGACTTACCCATTTCATAGTCTAATTGTAGAACCTATGTCCTTCCTTCCTACCTCCTCTGAATTGTAATTGTACTGTTAGAGCGCTGGACTTGGGGGGATGAGACATGAGAGTAGAAGTAGGAACGGTCCATCTGCAATATCAGGTGGTTATAGTGTCTCGGTGGGTAAATATATAGAAGTATGTATATTCATTGGGTTCAAGAAACAAAGTGGTGAATGTATAGGTAACTGCCAAAATAAAGGAAACACTTGAGTAAATGAGTGATACAAAGTATTTTGAAAGCAGGTGAGATAATTAAGCAATTAACATCCCATCAACCAAAATCCCATCATGCAAGGGATCATGTATTAAAATGTCCCAGTTGCCCATTATTTTGGCTACCATAGCTAGAAGAAGAGATCTCAGTGACTTTGAAAGAGGGGTTTCAAAGGAGCATAGGAGGTTTAAAGGGTGTGTGTGTCTCTCAGTCACCAGATCTCAACCCAATTGAACACTTATCGGAGATTCTGGAGCGGCGCCTGAGACAGCATTTTTCACCACCATCAACAAAACACCACATGATGGAATTTCTTGTGGCAGAATGGTGTCGCATCCCTCCAATAGAGTTCCAGACACTTGTAGAATGTATGCCAAGGCACATTGAAGCTGCTCTGGCAGCTTGTGGTGGCCCAATGCCCTAAAACATTTTATGTTGGTGTTTCCTTTATTTTGGCAGTTACCTGTATACTACCTAATCATATAATATTATCTTGTGTTTGAGAGGAATCACAATGGTAATGCATTGTGGGACTACAGGGGCTGATTGTATAGGCAGAGACGGACATAATAATATCTAATCAGTGTTCGTTTGATTGGACTGAATAGCCAATTATAGAGCACCATGAGAGATTCATTTTAGATCCATTTTCTGATAATGAAATGAGAGGAGAGCTAGCTGTTTCTAGGCATCGTCAGTGCAATTCTCTTCACACGCAAGCACGCACGCATGCACACACACACACCCTATTAGATTAAAAGAATGTGCTATGATTTAGAAAGTCTGGCTTTGTTTTTGTCGTGAAATGTCACTGTTCTCTCTCTCTGTCCCTGTCCCTCTGCCCCTCCCCAGAACATCAACCACTTTGATCTTTTCGGAGACATGTCCACTCCACCCTCGGTGAGTAACTGACCTTCCCTATCGCTTAGACAGACTCAGACCTTTAACCATGTCTGCAATGATGGTGCTGAAATATTATTCGTCAACATTTTAATGCATTATTATGCAGTCAAAATATTCTGTGAATAATAGAGGAACTTACAGTCAAGACAACCGTTAAAGAACAGTAAGACATTGTAAGACATTTTGAATTCTGATTTCTATGTCAGATTTCTCAGATGGTTCAATTGACCCCCAAATAGAAAAAGCAAATAAACAAATAATCACAAAGATCCCAGTGAAAGGACAGGTGCCTGGTTTAGACATGTGTGTGGATGATGTCCCCCCAGATTCCACCATCCCCGGCCAACACTCTGGACCCCAGCAGGAGCCACCGCCAGCCCCAGCACCCCCCAGAGATGTTCACCGGCCCCTTCAGCCCCACCTCTGTCCCCTCAGGGTACATGACCATGGGGCCAGTCCAGGCAGCCCAGTGGGCCCAGCAGGGACCCTTTGCTGGCCAGGCCCAGACCCTGGCCTTCGGGGTGCAGGGGCCCCTCCAGGTGACCCAGGTCCTCCCTGGGGGCCAGCCTGTCATCTGGAGCCAGGCCAACATCTTCCCTGCCACCCAGCAGCAGTGGGCTGCCATGGCTGCCTACATGCCTGCCCAGGCTGTGGGCGTGGGGGGCCACCACATCCCCATGATGGTGCCCATCACCACCGTATGCCCCGGCCCCCAGGGGCCCCACTGTGACCTCTCCTCCACCCCCTCCTCGGCCATCACCAGCCCCCAGCATCAGGCGATGGACCCAATCCTGCTCCAGCAGCTCCAGCAGCAGCATAGCATCGGTGGGGACTCTGACACAGGCGAAGGCCCCTCTTCGCTGGGCCTTGTCATGGTGGGCAGCAGGTGTGGCACACCCAGGCCGATGAGCCCCACTTCAATGGGTCTTGGTGCTGTGGGCAGGTGTGAGACGCCCGTTGGTCTTGTCATGATGGCGAGGTGTGAGACGCCCGGCCCTGGTCCAGTGAACGTGCCCCCTGACACCCTGGTTTGTAGCCAGCTGGGCCTGGGGTCATCATCGGCCGCAACCCAGGAAGAGGAAGGCAGCTGTAGTGACCTTGACCTCTCTCGGATGACCTTGAGTCCAGGCACGTCCACCTCGCCCTCCACTGACTCAGGTAAACTCTACCTATAGCCAGTTTCTCCTACATTCACACTAGATAGTTGCACATACTCATACAGCACAAATAAGTTACCCAACCCGAACCTGAAAGGGAAAATCCACCGGCCACATCATCATTTTGCACGTCATGATAATATGGTCGGTGGCACTTTGCTTCTTGAAAGTCCAATATCTTGAAAACTTCACCACTGACATGCAAAACATTTTGGGAATGTATGAAAAGTGTCAAGTTTCTCTTTAACCAAACCTAACTCTACCCACCTGGATAATGTACAATGCTTTAAGACCCGGTGAAAGTGAAAAAGGGAATGCAGTACACCCAACAACCAACTCTGTCTCCACCACAGCCCCCCAACCTGGCTCGTCCTCAGACTCCGCCCCGTCCCAGACCAGTGATCCCCCCACAGACCACTCCCCCATCGAAACAGAGGCCACACCCCCTAGCACCAGTGAGGATGACTCGGTGAGTCTCAGCTAATCTGGTCATAATGATATGAGCTATCAAACGGTTGGTAGATAGTTGTTTTATCACTTAAACTGCCGGGCCTTGCTACCCTTCTTACTACGTCAATGAGCAGCCATTTTGACTGCAACGTTCTAACAGTCTAATAAAGACATTTCATATATGTGATGGGGGGAAAAAAATCATTTGGTTGTGTTTATGAAGGTCTTGGGTAACATTATAATTCCAAAATATATATTTAAAAGAACACAATAGCATTTTCATTACTTTATGTTATTGTAGGCTATCTGCTGCAACGTGCTCACATGTGGAGTGCATGGAATAACAGTTATTCTTGGAAAAGGTGATATTTTGAAATAGAGCTAATCTCTTCAATTTTGAGAGTTATTTGTCAAAGGTAAGTGCTTTGGAAATCTCAGATACAATATAGAAATCAAAACATCTTACCTGTATGTGACTCTGTAGGAGGAAAAAAGTCACTTTCTGGCGCTTCTGAGAAAAAATTGCATGTCCTCTTAAAACTGCTTATAACACAAATTCTGTTAGTGATATCGTCAAGGACGGAAGGGGGCATGACTTTAAAAATGGCAGAGATATATAAATGTTACATTCACATGAGGTCAACATGACTGCCTCAGCACTTGTGTTAATGGTTGAATTCATGGGAAGAAACTGCATTTACTTGTATCTGTGATTTATACAACCCTGTGTGATATTAACCCTTTTCTCACTCTCTCTTTCTCTCTGTATCTCTCCCTCTTTCTGTTTTTTCTCTATCTTTCCACCTAGGGCTCATGCACCAGGGCTCTGTCTTCCCGCTCTTCCAGTGATGCTCCAGCTGACCCTCCACAGGTCCAGACCTGTCCACAGCAAGACAGCTAGAGAACACTGGGTGTCTGGGTGGGTCTCTTCTCTACTCTCCTCTATCACCCATTTCTCTCCTCCCCTTCCCTCTCATCTCCTCATCCCACCCTTCTACCTCTCTCTTCACTCCTCTCCTGTTCTATTCTCTAACCTTTTGTATCCCCTTAAGGCTGCTTAAAACATCTGTGTTTTATTGATTGGTCTAACAACCCTCTACCGCTCAGCTCACATTGTCTGTCTGTCTGGTGTCTTTTCAGAGGCACAGATCTCTTGTTTTATCTTTTAGTCTCTCTCTCTGTGTCCTTGCAGCTAAATGGTCCTCAGCCAATTATGGAAGAGCCGTGGTTTTCGTTTAAGGTTTATTTTATTATGGCTCTGTAGTATGTTGTGAAATGGAACATTGCTGCGTTGATTCAGTATGAGCAAAGTAAGGAACAATACTGCCACCTGCTGTCCATAGGCTCATAATTGCACATATTTCACACAAGTATATCTGAAAATTCAGTGTATGTGTTCTAATGCTGCTCCCTCCCTCTCCAGGAGAAGAATCCTCTCTATGCCCAGAGATATGACCAACAGGAGGAGATGAGAAGAGAGGAGAGGAGGAGGAGGACAGCGGACTGAGAGAGGGAGAGGAGGAGAGGAGAGACTCTGGACTCCTGTGTCCCTCCACATAGCTGGATTACACTGATCACTGTTTTGTTCTGGGGACTATTAATATTGGCAGCCTAAAGTAGCATTGGCTTCTCTCCTGAGACGGACAACACAACACACTCCTCACAATGGATACACTTTGTATTTTTTCCCTTGGCCAATTGTAAGGTTTTTCTCCCAGGAAGTAACCTTTGACCTTTGACAAAACTGTAGCGGCAGGTCGTTGCCATGACAACATTCTGCCACAGGTCAGTGGGTGGAGACTCCCAATCTATCATGTGACCTGGAAGAACCAATCGAACTGCAAGGTCAGAAAGAGGATTCTAATGGGTTCTATGGATTCAGATTCTTTTTTAGGTATTTTGATGAGGAATGGTGTCCTATGGGGTTATACCCTGCAAGGACTCATTGTGCAGAACAAATGGATTTGCCAAATGTTTTCAAAGAACTGACTTGTTCCATTTGCATGAACAGACTTTGTATTGTGGATCCAACGAAACGCAGCAGTGACTGCAAGACAACTGTTCTCTGTAGCTCCGTAGCTTCCTTTTCAATGCTGAAAGATACAAATATAATTTGAAATTTGTAAGCTGCGACTTCTGAGTTGACGCTTATGAGAGTCTTTAGGATAACGAAATAATCTTTGAGGCATCGTCCGAAATAAAATCCTGTTTGCCAAACTTCTATTTTGTAAATAAGATTTCCTCAAGGCCCCTACTGTACGCCTGAATCTCTGTGCCATAAGATAGGTCTGTCATCTGCCTCTCTGACACAGCCTACCTGTGGCTCTCAACTCTAAAGCAATGCCCTACCAGCACCTCTGTCTGTATCATCTGGATGTTTGCTTTGCTTTCGTTTGCAATTTCTTTTTTTTTCTTTTTTAGCTTTCTGTTTCTCTGTTAGGTTAGGTCGGTCTGTGACATATGAACTGTGCATCTGTGTTACATAGCCGCCATTGAATCAAAGCGATGATGCCTGCTACCTACGTATGACGTTACTCACTCTTTTGAAAATGTAGTCACACAACAACAACAAATATCCACAGGCTAATTTCTTAATAAAGTCACTGTCACTTTTACCTGGGGGAGGGAGGGGGAGGAAGGGAGGGAGGGGAGGGACAGGGAGAATCTCCTGCATAACCTTATTTTTAGCTGTTTTAGACTTCCAAACAGGTGTACTACCCATACTTCAATATTTGCTTTCAAACTCTATGTTGACCTACTCTACTGCTTCCAGACCTGGGTTCAAATACTATTTAAATACTTTGAGCATTTGCTTTAGCCTGCCTCTAGTGCCAGGTGGGCGGGGTTTGCATTTTGGGAATTTTCTATTGGTCCCATTGCAACAGGCAAGCTCAATCACACACAGCAAAAATATTTGAAATAATTTCAAATAGTATTTGAACCCAGGTCTGCTAGACATATCTGGGTGGTTTCTAGGAACCAAACCAATAAGCTAGTTGAGATGGCCGAGCCAGCTGCAGACTCCAGAGTGCATCACTATGCCTTATTAACATCAGTTGTACAGGTTCTGTTGCCCTGTCACTGTTACATCGTCCTGTCACTATATTACAGTAACACAGTTCATTGATGCAACTAAAGGTTTGGAGCATATTGTAGGTCTGTCTGCAAATGGCCAAAACGTGGAGACTTTATATGACTATGAAATAATAGAAATTGTATTGCTATTTTCTTCTAGACTATGATGATAATAACTGTAACCCTGCTCGTATAAGAAAAAGCTAAACGAAATGGTCCATTTTATTTATGAATTCCAACGGTCATGAAAAGAGAAAAAGGACTTTTGTACGTATATTTCTTCCCATTTACTGTACTACTCATCCCCACTGTTCAGTCACAAATAAAATATAATGTGATTCCCAGTTTTCTCCTGAACTTTGTATGTTGCATCAGCCATTTGTAACAATGGGTACTGCAACAAAAAAGGTCATTCATAGGATATTACTGTGTAATTACCATTTCACCATGTACTTTCTATGTAAACACCTGGGCATTTCAGCAACCCTAAAATAAGTGCTGCATGTATTTTGTTCCAACTCAATTACCTGGGTCCTGTCCAGTCAAAACATGCAGAAGAAAGCTGTTTGAAATGGAGAATGGAAATGAGATCATTCTTAACACTGTTGAGATAGTACTTCTTCAATTTCAAAAGGTTTTCTACCATGTTTCTGCCAACCGTACATGACTCTGTAGTTTTGTGTTGTTAATGGCATACAGTATATCCCATCAACATAAACCTAAATCAAGCATTTTAACTAAAGTTGACCTCAATCTACATTTCAAATAGCTTTCTGTTTTTACATTTATAAGCAATCACTCCATATTGTGTGGAGTGGATCTGATGTTTCTGTAAAGGGTAATTTGATGAAGGTCAATGAAGGTAAACAAGCAGTCCGGGAAATCTCCAAACAAACATAACGTACAACAAACATGATCTGTGTGCTTTGTGTTTCCTAATACCTGATTTATGAAAGTGGAGATTCCCGTAAGAGACTCACGGTCTGAACCTAACATTGAGTCCATGCCCCTTCTTGTATTGATCAGTGTGTGTTTACACACAGACCTACACACACACACACACACACACACACACACACACACGCATACACACACACACACACACGTACACACACACACACACACACACACACACACACAGCTGAACACACTGTTGTCTCGTCCGGTCTGTGTTTCCGTCTTATTGGAGATTTTTCAGATCCACCACCACTACCATGCTCTCTGTGTCCAATTTGAAGTCTACAGTCAGCCCATGTTACTTTCTCCTCTGTGCTGCACTGTGTTTGCTCCTACTCTGGTAAGACCTTCATTCAGTCTGTGTGTGTGTGGAAGATAGAGATTCAAGGGCAATGGCTGTCCTCTACAAACGTCAATACTCTATACAGTAGCCAGACAATGTATGATTTAGTGTGAGGTTCATTGCAGTACACTTACTCCTGATGGTTAAGGTTTTTGATTGAAGCCTTGTACAATGGGAGGAAATTTAAATTGTCGACTGTTTAAATCAATGCAAAAGTCGATCGAGAATAGAAAATGGTGTGTGTGTGCGCGCATTGACGTGAATAACTATTACTAGTAAACAAACAAAAATGTGACCAACTGGGGACATTTTGTTGGTCCCCACAAGGTCAAATGCTATTTCTAGGGGGTTTAGGGTTAAGGTTAGAATTAGTGTTAGGGTTAGAATTAGGGTTAGGAGCAAGGGTTAGTTTTAGGGTTGTGGTTAGGAGCTAGGGTTAGGTTGAAGGTTAAGGTTAGGTTTTCGGGTTAAGGTTAGGGTTAAGGTTAGGGTAAGAGTTAAGGTCAGGGTTAGGGAAAATAGGATTTTGAATGGAACTGGATTGTGTGTCCCCACAAGGTGTGCATGTATGTGTGTGTGTGTGTGTGCGTGTGCATATTTCTTCAAAGAAGTCCAGCTTTTTTAAACCATAATGATTTTCTATCAAATCAACACACAGATGATTCCTCCCCTGTCTCACCCTGCTTGACTAATATAAGAGGCTGATGCACTGCGGTGAGCTGTGAGTTATGGTGACCTATGTTTCAGTGATGTTGCCATAGCCGGCAGTGGCGAGGAGCCCAGTGGCGTCCGTGAGGCTCGTTCTGTGGGGACTCAGGTCCCCGTTCAGCCAGTGGACTGTGTACAATCAGAGTGGACCCCCTGGACGCGCTGCGATGTCTGCAGGAAGAAAAGGGTGAATATTAGCAGGAGGAGGAAGAGGAGGAAATGGATGATGATGATTACGAGGAGGAGGAGGAGGAGGAGGAGGATGTAGATAAAACCTGTTAGTGGAGAGGATACTGTAAGTGGCACAGGTTGCTGTTTGTAATCCACTTTACATGGAGAAAGACAAGGGGAGTAGCTGACCTTGACAAGAGAGTGCAAAGATCTTTCTAATATAATAACGGACATGGGATGTACTTCACATTCTGTGCTCAGATTGGGTAATGCAGCCTTCTGTGACAAAATAGCTTTACAGTAAGTAGGTAAAGATTTGTTGTACTGTAGCACTCAAATTGTTTTCAATTGTCTTTTATTCTCTCTCTCCCTCCCTCCCGACCCTCCCCCTCTCCATTGCCCTCCCCCCAGTATCGTTATGCTAAGCTTGTCCAGCCATCTCAGTTTGGCGGAGAGCCCTGTCATGTCCAGGGCAAAGAGGTGGAGACCTGTAGCCCTCCATCTCACCACAACTGTAGACCTGAAGAAACACCTCTGTGTGAAGGCTTCCTCTGCACTTACACAGGTATTCTTTCCACACAATCCACCAATTTAACTCTAACGTTAACCCTGATTTGAATAATCCTAACCACTGGTATTCTCTCCGCTGATCTCAAAACTATATGCCTGCTATTTCTACACTGCTTAGTCCAATGCATGTCTTCTAGATGTCTGTGTAGAAGTAAATAAAAATAAATAAAAAGGGCTGCATATTAAATGAAAAGTTTTACTCCACATAGTGCACTGCCAGTATAGGGCTCTGAACAAAACTAGTGGACTACATAGGGAATAGGGTGTGATTTGAGATGTGACCTGTATGTCTTCCCAGGGCGCTGTGTGCCTATAGACCTGCGCTGTAACGGGGATGATGACTGTGGGGACCGGTCAGATGAGAAGGGCTGTCAGAAGGTGAACAAGGCCTGCAAGCAGGAGGTACAGGAGTACTATGGCATCGAGAACCTGGCCAAAGGGTGAGGCGTACACAAATTCCAGTTTTTTACACAAATCGTCCATTGACATCAGTGCATGAATTACATGAAAGTTAATCCCTTTCTCTCTCTTGTAGAATCAACATACTGAACAGTAACTTAGAAGGAGTGGTTATTGACAACAGATACTACGCAGGCAGTTGCTTGCCTCACTACATCCAGGACGTCAGGTTCAGGAAGCCGTATAACCTGCAACAGTACACAATAGAGGTAGGAAGCCTTATAACCTGCAGCAGTACACAATAGAGGTAGGAAGCCTTATAACCTGCAGCAGTACACAATAGAGGTAGGAAGCCTTATAACCTGCAGCAGTACACAATAGAGGTAGGAAGCCTTATAACCTGCAGCAGTACACACTGGAGGTAGGAAGCCTTATAACCTGCAGCAGTACACACTGGAGGTAGGAAGCCTTATAACCTGCAGCAGTACACACTGGAGGTAGGAAGCCGTATAACCTGCAGCAGTACACACTGGAGGTAGGAAGCCTTATAACCTGCAGCAGTACACACTGGAGGTAGGAAGCCGTATAACCTGCAGCAGTACACACTGGAGGTAGGAAGCCTTATAACCTACAGCAGTACACACTGGAGGTAGGAAGCCTTATAACCTGCAGCAGTACACACTGGAGGTAGGAAGCCTTATAACCTGCAGCAGTACACACTGGAGGTAGGAAGCCTTATAACCTGCAGCAGTACACACTGGAGGTAGGAAGCCTTATAACCTGCAGCAGTACACACTGGAGGTAGGAAGCCTTATAACCTGCAGCAGTACACACTGGAGGTAGGAAGCCTTATAACCTACAGCAGTACACACGGGAGGTAGGAAGCCTTATAACCTGCAGCAGTACACACTGGAGGTAGGAAGCCTTATAACCTGCAGCAGTACACACTGGAGGTAGGAAGCCGTATAACCTGCAGCAGTACACACTGGAGGTAGGAAGCCTTATAACCTACAGCAGTACACAATGGAGGTAGGAAGCCTTATAACCTGCAGCAGTACACACTGGAGGTAATAAGGGCCCTATTCGAATACTCTTAAAATGCATTGTTCCTTCTTTTACAGTACCACATTTCCAATGATTAATATGACTGGACAATACAGATATGTTGTCTCAGCAATATGTTTCATAATTTCAGGTGTTTTAAGAGCAGTACAGAGGAAACATTTATTAATAACTGGGTTGGTGCTACAGTACGTGTGTGACTGTGACCTGTAGTGAATGTAAACATTACTTTTCTCTTGTTTGTCCTCCACAGACAAAAGGCACATACGACTTCAAGCTGCAGTCTTTCTCGTCATACTCTGAGTTTGTCGATTACTCCATGACGGAGCGCACTTCCAAGACCACGGTGTCCATTGGCTTTGCTGTGCCGGGCGTGGCCGAGTTCGGCTTCAACTACGCTGACTCCAAATACTCCAAGTCAGAGAAAAGAACACGCCGCGCCTCTGGGAAGGTGAGAGTTGTTCATCAGGGGTCTGCTCAGAAGAGAGCATCGTTACAGAATGGTCCGATAGAAGTGTATTGTGTAGAACAGACATGATTGTCTGTCATGTACAATAGAGAACTGAGTCCCCTCTATTTATCACATTTCTATATGCAACGTTCTGAACAACACAAAGGCACAATTCACCCCAAAATCAATGTTTTGGGTCATTCACATTCAGTAACCAAGCCCTCCTGACACACACCTTTTCCCACCACCCCTCCCCAGGAAAACAGCTTTGTCCGGGCCAAGGCAGAGCTGGAACTGGCCCGATACATCCTGAAGTCAGAGGATCTGATGCTGCACCCGGAGTTCTTCATGCGTCTTCGTGCCCTGCCCCAGTCCTACAACTATGGGGAGTACAGACAGATCTACAGAGACTATGGCACCCACTACATCACAGAGGCTACCCTGGGAGGAGACTACGAACACACCGTCATCCTGGACAAGAAGAAGCTGGAGAAGTCAGGTGACTGATAATGCTTTGCTATTCCATGGAAAGAGGCTACTGCACTACGGGGCCATAGGGTTACGTTCCATTTCACAGCAGCTACCCATGGACAATTGAAGTAAAGTACTATATCACAATGGTAGTAGTAATGCTCTCCTATATCTCCACTCCCATTTTAGATTATTCTCTGGAAGCCTACAAGAACTGTGTTCAGATAGGTCTGAAGGTGGGGGCCAACATCAAGGGGGTGTATGTGACTGTGGGGATCGACGGAGGTGGTTGTGATGGTGTGCTCAACGAAATGGGAGGTGAGGAGTGGATCTAGATCACTGGCAACACGGGCATTCTCTCTTTCTGTCTCGTACTGTAGAATAAATAGATTTTCTCTCCTCTCTCTCATCTCCCCTCTCCCTCCCCCTCCTCTAGAGGACACAGTGAAAGGCAGCATGGTGGAAGACTTTGTCGCGGTGGTTAGAGGGGGTGACAGTGAGTCCATCACCGCGCTGGCTGAAAAGAAGCTGCCCACACCACAACTGATGAGACTGTGGGGAGAAGCCGTGCATTACAACCCTGACTTCATCCGCAGCGTGGTGGGAATACTGTCTCTCTCTCCGTTCTCTTTTCTCGCCATTTATCTCGGTCTCTTTTGTATACAGTCTAAAGTCTGCATAAACACTACAGTGAATACAGTAGTATTTACTGCAGTGTTGCGAACATGACTGTAGTATACTGTAGTATTTACAGTTTACTATAGTATATTGTAAATACTGTAGTACTTTTTGTTGTTGTTGTATATACTATAGTATTTACTGTAGTGTTTACGCTGTAGTATTTACTGTAGTGTTTTTGCAGACATTACTGTAGTATTTACTATAGTGTTTTCGTTTTATTATCTTTGGCAAAACTGTGGGGGCTTTGTCCTTAAAGAAAACTACTGTACAAAATACTCAAAGAGCAAATGTTCTATTACCTGTAGGTAAGTAAGTAGGTAGGTAGGTAGAACTAAGGTCTAAATGGATAGTTCAGAGCTTCAGTTCTTTTCTATAACCTGTAGGGAACACAATATATGGTCAATACTTATCTACTTGTCACGCTCGTCTACGAGAGAGGACCAATGCGCAGCGTTGAAGGTGAACATAATATATATTTATTAACTGATCACACGATCAAAACAATAACCAACGATGCGTGACGTCTAAGGTTACAACACAAACAAACCTTAACAGAACAAGAAACCACAACACAAAGTGAAAAGACCGATAGTTAAATATGGCTCCCAATCAGAGACAACCAGCTGACACTCGTTGCCTCTGATTGGGAGTCACTCAGGCCAACATAGATATACAAACATAGACTTACACACCCTGGCTCAACATAACATAGTCCCCAGAGCCAGGGCGTGACAGTACCCCCCCCCAAAGGCGCGGACTCCGGCCGCGCCAAACAACCACAACAGGGGAGGGACCGGGTGGGCACTCCGCCTCGGCGGCGGATCCGGCTCCGGACATGACCCAGGCACGGGTTGTGCTGGACTGACGACGCACACCCCTGGCTTGATGCGTGGAGGAGGAACGGGCCTTACCAGGCTGACGACGCACACCGTAGGCCTGGTGCGTGGAGCAGGGACAGGCCGGACTGGGCTGACGAAGCACACCACTGACTTGGTGCGGGGAGCAGGAACGGGCCGGACCGGGCTGACGAAGCGCACCCCTGACTTGGTGCGGGGAGCAGGAACGGGCCGGACCGGGCTGACGAAGCGCACCCCTGACTTGGTGCGGGGAGCAGGAATGAGCCGGACCGGGCTGACGACGCGCACCACTGACCTGGTGCGGGGAGCTTGGCTGGGCCGGACTGGGCTGGCGACGCGCACCACAGACTTGGTGCGGAGAGCAGGAACGAGCCGGACAGGGCTGACGAAACGCACCACAGACCTGGTGCGGAGAGCAGGCACGGGCCGTGCCGGACTAACGACGCACACCACTGGCTTGGTGCGGGGAGCTTGGATGGGCCGGACTGGGCTGGCGACGCGCACCACAGACTTGGTGCGGAGAGCAGGAACGGGCCAGACAGGGCTGACGAAACGCACCACAGACCTGGTGCGGAGAGCAGGCACGGGCCGTGCCGGACTGACGACGCACACCACTGGCTTGGTGCGGGGAGCTTGGATGGGCCGGACAGGGCTGACGAAACGCACCACAGACCTGGTGCGGAGAGCAGGCACGGGCCGTGCCGGACTGACGACGCACACCACTGGCTTGGTGCGGGGAGCTTGGATGGGCCGGACTGGGCTGGCGACGCGCACCACAGACTTGGTGCGGAGAGCAGGAATGAGCCGGACCGGGCTGACGATGTGCACCCCTGTCTTGGTGCGGGGAGCAGGAATAGACCGGACCGTACTGGGGACACACACCACTGGCCCTACACCGGGATCTGGAACGGGCCGGACCGGACTGGCAACACACGCCAGTACCTCTCGCCGTGCCTCTACATCCTCCATCCCCTCTTCGACCAGTGGCCCCCGTAACCTGGCGGCCTCCTCTGGCAACCCACTGGGCCGCTCTATCGCGGCCTCCTGCTGGTCCGACGTCGTGAGCCCCCCCCTAAAAAAATTTCTGGGAGTCTCTCTTCCCCGTGGGCCAGGCCTCGATAATTCTCGCCCACCTCTCGCTCCTCTGCTTCCAATCTCCGTCATTCAGCTCCTCATTCGGCTTGACCCAGTCGAAGCTCTGCCTCCACTGTTGCCAAGTCCACCTACTCTGCTCCTCACTAGGCTGCTTGGTCCAGTTCAGGTGGTTTCTTCTGTCACGATCGTCTAATGAGGGAGGACCAATGCGCAGCGTTGAAGGTGAACATAATATATATTTATTAACTGATCACACGATCAAAACAATAACCAACGATGCGTGACGTCTAAGGTTACAACACGAACAAACCTTAACGGAACAAGAAACCACAACACAAAGTGAAAAGACCGATAGTTAAATATGGCTCCCAATCAGAGACAACCAGCTGACACTCGTTGCCTCTGATTGGGAGTCACTCAGGCCAACATAGATATACAAACATAGACTTACACACCCTGGCTCAACATAACATAGTCCCCAGAGCCAGGGCGTGACACTACTTTCACTTATGGGTGGCACAATTTGGGATTTGGGGGAGGGGAATGGGCAGGGTATATGCAAATTAAATACTGTAGTGTAGTATATACTATAGTAATTAGTGTAGTGTTTTTGAGGACTGTAGTGTTTTTGAGGACATTACTGTAGTATTTACTGTACTGTTTTTGCATACTGTAGTGTTTTTGCGGACAATACTATAGTATTTACTGTTTTGTTTTTGCAATCTGTAGTATAATGTAGTATTTAGCATAGTATACTACAAAATTATATAGTAAGTACTACACATGAGTGAGGTATACTACAGTGTGTAGTATAGTATTCTACAATATACTATAGTTTACTACATAATTCTATAGAAAGTACTGTAGTATTCCATAGTACACTTCAGTATTTTTTCATGTGGGCATCTCCTTTTCTCTTCTCTTTCACTTATCTGTAGCATGCTGGGACTCTTGTCCTTTCTGTTTATCTCACTCACTGTTTTACTCTTTATTTTCTATCTCTCTTCATGCCCCTCTCTCTCTGCTGCTGCATCTGGATGAATCCCTGGGTGGAGCAGCACAGCTCTGGAGTCGTGCTCTCTCTCTCCCACTCTCTCTTCATCCCCTTCTGTCTCTCTTTATGCCTCTCTCTCTCTCTTTATGCCTCTCTCTCTCTCTTTATGCCTCTCTCTCTCTCTTTATGCCTCTCTCTCTCTCTTTATGCCCCTCTCTCTCTCTCTCTCAGATTTCCCAAAGGTTTCTCTATAGGTGTCCTCTACCAGTCTGTCAGACTCCAGCCCTGAGCTGGTTGTGATGATGTTAAAGTATTGTTGTTGTTGTCTGTGTGACAGACGCGGCCACTATATGAGCTGGTGACCTCCAGAGACTTCTCCAACGCTAACTCCCTGAAGAAGAACCTGAGGAGAGCCCTGGCTGAATACCTGGAGGAGAGCAGCTCTTGCCGCTGTGCCCCCTGCCACAACAACGGACTGGCTGTTCTCAAAGGTAAACACCCTCCCTCCAGCCCCCTGCTTAAAGGACTCCCTCCCCGATCCATCTCTACTTGGTAGATTTATAAAACTATGAAAGATGATAGTGATGCTGAGGATGAAGATCATCACAATGATAACAAAGTCTTTCTCTACCCCCTCAGGCACTAGGTGTGAGTGTGTGTGTCCATCTGGCTACAGTGGACTGGGTTGTGAGATCACCCAACGACCAGGTCACCCTCTTAATAAAAACACAAACCTACACAATAAAGCCTTCACCTGTAGCTTTAACATCTATTTAATTTCCACAATATTGCCATTTCCATGCTATTGGGGAGGTTTAACCTTTTGAGCTTTGTCCCTAACAGATATAGCCATAGACGGCAGCTGGAGCTGCTGGGGTTCGTGGTCGCCCTGCAAGGAGAGGACTAAGACACGGAGCCGCCAGTGTAACAACCCTGCACCTAGCAGCAGAGGCATGACCTGCAGAGGACTCCAGGTGGACGCTACTGACTGTTTCTGATATTGTCCTGGACTCTTGATTGAAATAAAGATAATTCATGTCACCTTTGGAAATGTGCCTGTGATATGTTTGCATTCTTGACTCTTTTATGACAAAAAATGTCACACGCGTATAAGCTAACTGAGAAAAACTGAGGTGATCAAACATAACAGAGAATGATTTTGTTTTTATTTCTAAACACAAACATTTTGACCATCATCTTTCTCATCAGATCAGAAGACAGATTTGGTATCATTCTTTACTCATTAAACATACATCATTGGTATCCACTTCCTGTGTAGTGCTGAAATCTGTGCCCCTTGCCGTGGTGTGTCCCGTCTTCCTGGTGACATCATTGGTTCTGGGAGGAGGAGCCAAGGCAGGCGGCGCCCCCGTCTGGTCTGGGGTTGTCACATGACCGTCTGCGTGTCTTACTTCCTGACTGACAGGAAGACCACGCGCCCCAGCAACTCCAGGCCCGTCCGTCGTGGAATCTATCAGACGACAGTATGGCAGGCTCTGTGTCACCCACTCTGATATTGCTCTTCACTCATCGGCAGTCTCTACACATACACTATTTATACAAAAGTATGTGGACACCCCTTCAAATAAGTGGATTTGGCTATTTCAGCCACACCCATTGCTGACAGGTGTATAAAATCAAGCACACAGCCTTTGCAATCTCCATAGACAAACATTGGCAGTCGAATGGCCTTACTGAAGAGCTCAGTGACTTTCAATGTGGCACTGCTATAGAATACCACCTTTCCAACAAGTCAGTTCCTCAAAATGTCTGCCCTGCTAGAGCTGCCCGTAAAACTGTAAGTGCTGTTATTGTGAAGTGGAAACGTCTAGGAGCAGCAACGGCTCAGCCGCGAAGTGGTAGGCCACACAAGCACACAGAACGGGATCACCGAGTGCTGAAGCGCGTAGCCCGTAAAAATTGTCTGTCCTTGGTTGCAACACTCACTACTGAGTTCCAAACTGCCTCTGGAAGCAATGTCAGCACAAGAACTGTTCGTCGGGAGCTTCATGAAATGTGTTTCCATGACCGAACAGCCGCACACAAGCCTAAGATCACCATGCGCAATGCCAAGTGTCGGCTGGAGTGGTGTAAAGCTCGCAGCCATTGGACTCTGGAGCAGCGGAAACGCGTTCGCTGGAGTGATGAATCACGCTTCACCATCTGGCAGGCCGACGGACGAAACTGGGTTTGGCGGATGCCTGACCTCAACCCCATCGAACACCTTTGGGATGAATTGGAACTCCGACTGCGAGCCAGGCCTAATCTCCCAACATCAGTGCCCAACCTTACTAATGCTTTTGTGGCTGAATGGAAGCAAGTCTCCTCAACAATGTTCCAACATCTAGTGGAAAGCCTTCCCAGAAGAGTGGACGCTGTTATAGTAGCAAAGGGGGGACAAACTCCATATTAATGCCCATGATTTTGGAATTAGATGTTCGACGAGCAGGTGTCCACATACTTTTGGTAATGTAGTGTACTAACCCAAGCAAAGTTACTGTCGTAAAGTGTGGCGGATATAAGTAACTACAAATAATAGCACTCTGTTACACCCACCTTTCCTGAGGCTCTCCTCAGTGTGTGTGTGTGTGTGTGTGCAGCACAAACAAAAACATGTATTTTGTGTGTCTGTGTGTGTCAGATGCATCCTGTTGTTCCCACTGAACATGACTGTTGATGACCCCTGACCTCTGCTTACCCCTGAGTGCCGCGGACAGCTCCAGGGATGGGAAGCAGTGTGGAACACTTGTCCTGTCTGTAGTCCACCTGCTCACAGTCCAGCTCATTAGACTGGTCATCAAAGTCTGCCTCACCGTTACAGCGAAGCACCTGGCTCACAACAACAACCTAAGCTACAGGACTGTTTTACTAGCACAGACTGGAACATGTTCCGGGATTCTTCAGATAGCATTGAGGAGTATACCACATCAGTCACTGGCTTCATCAATAAGTGCATCGATGATGTCGTCCCCACAGTGACCATACGTACATACCCCAACCAGAAACCATGGATTACAGGAAACATCCGCACTGAGCTAAAGGGTAGAGCTGCCGCTTTCAAGGAGCGGAACCCGGACGCTTATAAGAAATCCCGCTATGCCCTCCGACGAACCATCAAACAGGCAAAGGGTCAATACAGGACTAAGATTGAATCGTACTACACTGGCTCTGACGCTCGTCGGATGTGGCAGGGCTTGAAAACTATTACAGACTACAAAGGGAAGCACAGCCGCGAGCTGCCCAGTGACACAAGACTTCCAAACGAGCTAAACCACTTCTATGCTCGCTTCGAGGCAAGCAACACTGAAGCATGCATGAGAGCACCAGCTGTTCCGGATGACTATGTGATCACTCTCTCCGTAGCCGATGTGAGTAAGACTTTTAAGCAGGTCAACATTCACAAGGCTGCAGGGCCAGACAGATTACCAGGACGTATACTCCGAGCATGTGCTGACCAACTGGCAAGTGTCTTCACTGACATTTTCAACATGTCCCTGACTGAGTCTGTAATACCAACATGTTTCAAGCAGACCACCATAGTCCCCTGTGCCCAAGGACTCTAAGATAACCTGCCTAAATGACTACCGACCCGTAGCACTGACATCTGTAGCCATGAAGTGCTTTGAAAGGCTGGTCATGGCTCACATCAACACCATTATCCCAGAAACCCTAGACCCACTCCAATTTGCATACCGCCCCAACAGATCCACAGATGATGCAATCTCTATTGCACTCCACACTGCCCTTTCCCACCTGGACAAGAGGAACACCTACGTGAGAATGCTATTCATTGACTACAGCTCAGCATTCAACACCATAGCACCCTCAAAGCTCATCACTAAGCTAAGGATCCTGGGACTAAACACCTCCCTCTGCAACTGGATCCTGGACTTCCTGACGGGCCGCCCCCAGGTGGTAAGGGTAGGTAACAACACATCCGCCACACTGATCCTCAACACGGGGGCCCCTCAGTGGTGCGTGCTCAGTCCCCTCCTGTACTCCCTGTTCACCCATGACTGCATGGCCAGGCACGACTCCAACACCATCATTAAGTTTGCCGACGACACAACAGTGGTAGGCCTGATCACAGACAACGATGAGACAGCCTATAGGGAGGAGGTCAGAGACCTGGCCGTGTGGTGCCAGGATAACAACCTCTCCCTCAACGTGACCAAGACAAAGGAGATGATTGTGGACTACAGGAAAAAAAAGAGGACTGAGCACGCCCCCATTCTCATCGACGGGGCTGTAGTGGAACAGGTTGAGAGCTTCAAGTTCCTTGGTGTCCACATCACCAACGAACTATCATGGTCCAAACACACCAAGACAGTCGTGAAGAGGGCACGACAAAGCCTATTCCCCCTCAGGAGACTGAAAAGATTTGGCATGGGTCCTCAGATCCTCAAAAAATTCTACAGCTGCACCATCGAGAGCATCCTGACTGGTTGCATCACCGCCTGGTACGGCAACTGCTTGGCCTCCGACCGCAAGGCACTACAGAGGGTAGTGCGTACGGCCCATTACATCACTGGGGCCAAGCTTCCTGCCATCCAGGACCTCTATACCAGGCGGTGTCAGAGGAAGGCCCTCAAAATTGTCAAAGACTCCAGCCACCCTAGTCATAGACTGTTCTCTCTGCTACCGCACGGCAAGCGGTACCAGAGTGCCAAGTCTAGGTCCAAAAGACTTCTCAACAGCTTCTACCCCCAAGCCATAAGACTCCTGAACAGCTAATCATGGCTACCCAGACTATTTGCACTGCCCCCCCCACCCCATCCTTTTACGCTGCTGCTACTCTGTTAATTATTTATGCATAGTCACTTTAACTCTACCCACATGTACATATTACTTCAACTACCTCAACTAGCCGGTGCCCCCGCACATTGACTCTGCACCGGTACCCCCTGTATATATAGCCTCCCTACTGTTATTTTATTTTACTTCTGCTCTTTTTTTCTCAACGCTTTTTTTGTTGTTGTTTTATTTTTACTTTTTTGTTAAAAATAAATGCACTGTTGGTTAAGGGCTGTAAGTAAGCATTTCACCTGTTGTATTCGGCGCATGTGGCCAATACAATTTGATTTGATTTGATTTGAGAACGGATAGACAGACACACACACGTGCACACATGCACATGCCCATTACAGGCACGCATGCACACACACACACACACACACACACACACACACACACACACTGAACTGCTGTTATTCATGCAGTAAATGTGCTGCGTCTCCTATCCCACTGAGACATGGAAATGAGCTGGAAATGAGAAGAGAAACACCATATTGCCATAGTATTAGAATTAGTAAGAAATTGTAGCCTACTTACTGTGAACTCCCAGTTCACTCCATTTTGAAAACAAAACATTATTTAAAGAATTCATGAAATGTATAGAGTAGAGCCAGGAGTTTTCCTAGACAGGTCACATGTCTGAAAAATCTCCCGGCTCTAACTAAACTATAAAATCAGAACCTTGGCCCTACAGTATCTGTAACGCCCTGGCCTTGAGAGGCCGGTCGTCTTTAGTTGGTTTGGTCAGGGCGTGAGAATCTATGCTAGAAATTCTATGTTTATGTTCTAGGTATTGTATTTCTATGTTTGGCCGGGTGTGATTCCCAATCAGAGACAGCTGTCGCTCGTTGTCTCTGATTGGGGATCATACTTAAGTAGCCTGTTTGCCTACCTTAGTTGTGGGATCTTGTTCCGTGTCTAGGCTTGTATGTGTATAGCCTGAGGACGTCACGTCACGTCACGTCACGTCACGTCACGTCACGTCACGTCTTGTATGTTTATTGAGTTGAATAAATATGTACGCTTTTCACGCTGCACCTTGATCTGACCCGTCTCTCATCGATCGTGACAGAAGATCCCACCAAACGAGGACCAAGCAGCGTGGCCAGGAGCAGACATCCTGGAAATGGGAGGAGATCCTGGATGGTAAGGGATCTTGGACATGGGAGGAGATCCAGGCTGTGATGGATTGCCGTCCTTGGGAACAGACAGAGGAAGCCCGGGTTAGAGAGGAGCAACGGCAACACAGAAGGCGCC